CAAAAGCAGCGAAGGTATTGCTCAAGAATCTGATTGGTCTGCTCGGTTTGTCCATCGCTCTGGGGATGGAACGCCGATGAGAGGTTGACCTTGGTTCCCAGGAGAGCGAAGAGACGTTTCCAGAAGTGGGAGTTGAACTGTGGGCCACGGTCAGATACAATATCGTCGGGGAGTCCGTGGAGCCGGATGACATGGTGCCAGATCAGATCTGCAGTTGATTCAGCGGTGGCAGTTTTCCTGCACGGTACAAAGTGCGCCATCTTGGTGAACCGGCAGATGACAACGAGCACAGAATCAACCCCATCACTGGCGGGTAGATCCGTGATGAAGTCCATGGAAATTGACCCCCAGGGGCGGTCAGGGACCTGCAGGGGTTGGAGGAGACCGTAGGGCTTGTGTCTGCTGGTCTTGGCTTGAGCACATACGTCGCAGGACCTGATGTAGGACTTGACAAAACGCCACTGGCTAGGCCACCAGTAGTTGCGTGAGATGAGCTCCAGGGTCTTTGACATGCCGTAGTGTCCTGCCAAACGCGTGTCATGCATGTCCCGGCAGATCTCAGCACGGAGCTTGTTGGTGGGGACGTAGACAAGGTTGTCGTACAGCAGAACCCCATTTTCCTCGGAGAATCGCTTTATCCGTTCTTGGTCTTCTTGAGATTGCTGGGCAATGGGGGCCCTAAGCTGTCGCCGGATGGTTTGCGCAAACACATCGGATGCCAGGGCAGCTTTGATTTGGTCAAGGAGCGAGGAGTCCAGTGGGGTCAGATAAGTGGCGGCCAGGCGGAGATGGTCAGGGGTGAGGATCGTGGTTTCCTGGGAGCGGAATGCTTCTTCCCCCTCCCTTAGCTCGTATTCAGAGCGACGAGAGAGGGCGTCAGCTTGGTGTTGCTGGGTACCAGGGCGGTATGTGATGACAAAGTCGAAATCAGCAAAGAAGATTGACCAGCGGGATTGGCGGCGGTTGAGGGTACGGGTAGTCATGAAGTACTGGAGGTTCTTGTGGTCACAGTAAACGATGACCTTGTGGCGGGCACCAATGAGGTGGTGTCGCCATTGAGCAAATGAGTCTTGGATAGCCAGGAGTTCCTTGTCGTAGATCTCATAGTTGATTTCCTCAGGAGTAAATTTGCGGGAGTGAAAGGCCACGGGGTGGAGTTGATCTGTGTCATCGGGTTGAAGGAGGACGGCGCCAAGGGCAAAGTCGGAGGCATCGGATTCGACAATGAAGGGCTTGTCAGGGTCGGGGTGAGTCAGGATAGGTGCGGAGGTGAAGGCTTTCTTGAGGGTTTCAAAAGCTAGGTGTGCAGCGTGGGTCCATTTGAATGGCAAGTCTTTGCGAGTGAGCGTGGTCAGGGGTGCAACGATCGCAGAGTACCCTTTGATGAATCGCCGGTAGAAGTTGGCAAAACCAAGGAAGCGCTGGATGCCTTTGACATTCGTTGGGGGTTCCCATTCGGTAATGGCAGCCGTCTTCTTTGGGTCCATGGAAATGCCCTTCTGGGAGATGATAAACCCCAGGAACTCAACAGAGTCACGGTTGAATTCGCATTTTTCCGGTTTCGCATACAGCCCGTGCTGGCGGAGTCGTGAGAGCACCTCTCGGACGTGGTTGGGGTGGTCTTCTGGGTTTTTTGAGAAGATCAGAATGTCGTCAAGGTAGACCACAACAAAAACGTCGAGAATGTCACGGAATATGTCGTTCATGAGGTGTTGGAATACTCCAGGGGCATTGGTGAGCCCAAACGGCATGACATTATACTCGAATAAGCCGTAGCGACATCGGAACGCTGTCTTCCATTCATCCCCTGGCCGGATCCGAAGAAGGTTGTAGGCTCCCCGGAGGTCAATCTTGGTGAGCCGGCGTGCCCCTCGAAGACGATCCATGATGCTGTTAATCAAGGGCAAGGGATAGCGATTCTTGATGGTGATATTGTTGAGTCCACGATAGTCGACGCACAGACGGAGGGAACCGTCCTTTTTCTTGACAAAGGGGACTGGGGCACTGGCGGGAGACTTGGAGTGCTTGATGAACCCCTTAGCTAGGTTCTCTTCAAGGTAGTCACAGAGTGCCTGCATTTCAGGCTCGCTGAGACTATAGATCGGGCCGAACTGTGGCTGTTTGCCCTCTTCTAAGTCGATGGGACAGTCGTAGGGTCGGTGCTCTGGGAGGGTATCCGCGTTCTTCTTGGCGAAGACGTCTGCAAAATCTTGGTATTCTTCAGGAATGATGGCCTTCGGATCTTTTGGAGGAGTGGTCGCCAGGGCTTGGGAATCTGACTTGGTCGGATTGGCGTAGGCAATGAATGCCTGGTCATGCCTTGCCGCCACACGGAAAGCTGGGGCGCTGATAAACGATACGTGGATCAGTGTGGGTGCTGGGTCCAGTGTGTTGGGTGTCTGGGCTAGGGAGACTGAAATCTCGTCTTGATGGATACGGATCAGAGGTTCAGGGGTTCTTGAGGGCTTCGGGCTAGGTTCTGTTGGCGGGGCATCCCAGGAGGCGTATTGTCCAAAACCGCAATGGCAGCGGACGCAAAGAGTGCGAGTCTTCCAATGTAGCTCCACATCATGGAGCTCAAACCAGGGAAGCCCCAGGATGATTGGCGCATGCGGGGAACATGTCACATGGAATACCACCTCCTCAAAATGGTCGTTGACCCACATGCCCAAAGGTTGGGTGTGATGGGTAATGGAGCCCGCATGGCTGGGACGTCCGTCAACCAGTTCAAGCGCAATGGGGTCCTCCTTCTTGACAAGTGGGATGCGGTGCTTGCGGGCATACCTTTCGTCGATGAAGCACGACATCGCACCGGTGTCGAGTAGTGCTGAAAGCTGAACTGGAGCTCGCTGGGCCGATATCTGCAGGGTAACAGGGTACTCGAATGGTGAGGATGGGCCCAAAGTCCGCATGGGTGAGGGTATCTCAGATAGGAGATTGACATTGTTGGTGGTCAGGAGAAGGGTGTTGCTGGAGATGCCAGGATCGGAGCAAGGTTTTGTGGCTTCTCCCTTGGCAGTACTTGCGTGGTGAGAAGGCCCAGGACAGGTGTTGCCCAGCTGCTCGGCCTTTACTGCAGCTGGACTTGGGCAAAATCCTGGATGGGTGCAGGTTCCTTAACCGCGACATTCGCCGTGCGTATCTTGTTCGGGCAGAGTTTGGCTATGTGGCCGGGTTTACCACAGTAGAGGCAAAGTTTGTTTGTGATGCGGTGTTGGCGCTCTAGCGGTGTGAGGGGTCCTCGCGGACGAGCAGCGTCAATGATCATAGGGTCGTCTGGGCGGTTGTCGGGGCTCATGAGGGTGGGGCTAGTGGTAACTGGCACATATGGCTGTCGGTTCCTGCTTCGCTCTAGACGGCGCTCAAACAATCGGTTGTCACATTGGATGGCCTGTTCCATCACAGTGTCGATTGAGGCGGTAGGGGGCATCGTGAGCATTAAGTCCTTGACGTCTTCTTTGAGGCCGCGACGGAAGGTGGCAATCAATGCCTGGTCATTCCACGACACATCGCATTGCAGCTGTCGGAATTCAGCTACATACTCTGTTGCTGCACGGGTTTGTCGAAGGTTCTGGAGCTTGTTTTCGGACGTGCGGATCCTGTCGCTGTCTCCAAAGACTGCTTGCATTTGCTGGATGAAATCATCCAGGTTCGTAAGGGAATGATGGTCTTGTTCGACAAGGGGCGCCAGCCAGGCCTGGGCGGTGCCAGTGAGGTAGGTGCCAATAGTTCGTATCTTGGTCTGATCGTTGGGGTAGCGCCTGGGTTGGAGGGCGAACATGAGCCGGATCTGGTTGAGGAACCCACGGAACTTGCTTCGGGTGCCATCAAATTTGTCTGGGAGACTGATTTTGGGTTCGGGGGCGTGGGTGGAAGGGGCAGTGGTCTGGGTTTGCGCTAGTTCGGCTTGTAGGGTGGTATTCTGCGCTCGAAGTTCGTCAATCGCATTGCACATGGCTTGCCAGGCTTCGGCCGTGAGGGGAAGGGCGTCGGACATGGTGATTTGGCGTGGAGGTACAGCGGCTGGGGGTTGTTGAGCAGATCAAACTGTTATGAATGGGCGGAACCGACGGAAATAGAGGCGACTTGTGGTGCAGGTTGTTGACAGGTAATAGTATTCAGACCGAAACAAGAACTAGAACAAGACTAGGAAGAACTGGTGTTGATCTGCTGGGGGATCAGGAAGTGGGGAGCTCAGGGGAGGCGGCTATTTATGTTTTTCTGGGAAGGCTGGGGAAGCGTGGGGAAGCAGAAGGGTACGGAATGAGAGGGAAGCCAAGAGAAGCGCCAAGGGTGGGGAAGCATAGAAACAGAAGACTGGGGATGGGGTGGCTACGCTGAGGCTGTGGGCGGGTACGTGGGGAAGTATGGAGAAGGGTTTGTAAGCGCCGAGTGTTGGGAGGTGTGGCTACGTGCGGCTGCGTGGAGAAATGAAGGCAGTGGCAGGTGTGGGGTAGCGCGGCTGCGTGCGGCTGCGAGGTTTGGCAGATGTCAGGTTTTGACAGGGAATTGACATTGACTGACTGTTGGGATGCTGTCATGAGGTAAGCGCATGGTATGGACGCGTCGTCCATAACACGTACGGCGAGTTGAAAGGGTTCATTGAGATTCAAACTCCCCTACGTATGCAACCCTGGGGTCCAAAATAGCTGCCGAAACGGTGGAAGTGCCGGACTGGCTTGGTTGCGGCTATTTATAAGCACAAAAGGGGGATCAACCCCCTGTGACACAAGAGGGCGGGAAGTTTACCCTCTGGGGGCAACCCCAGGGGAAATCCGGCTACTTCTAGCCGGCTCTCTCGTTTTTGCCCACCGATCACCGGCTACAACTGCTGCGCTTCGAGTTTTGCCCGCACGGTGGAAATGCCCAAGGGTAAGAAAAAAGGTGAGCCACTCCCTGATTGGCATTTTTAGCCCTCATACAGTTACTATGGGCCTATGGGGAGCTATGGGGTGCAATCGTACGCGTGTTCCCCCCAGGTGGCGCAGCCGGTTGCCGAGCGCGTGTCACTCTCATAGCTCATTCCCGGCGGCATGAGAGACTTGAGAAAGGCCGCCCGCTACTACTATAGTCCTGTGCTATGGCCGCTGAGAACCTCGGAATCGTGCTGGGCGTCACCACTCACGACACTATTCCCACCCCGCAAGGAGGGCATCAAGCGAGCAATAAACCTTCTTCGCTTCGCCTGTTACTCGCCTCCAGTAAGCCCTCCTGCACGTCCCAGTAGCGCTCCCGCATCTCCGCTGCCGGAAACCGGTAAGTCATCACTGAGGTTTCAAAACCCTTCAACACGCCGATGACTCGCACAGCTTGTTCCAACTGAACTCACTCCTCCGCGCCCGCTGCGTAGTCTCTCTGGACCCATTCCACACCCACACCTAAGCCGTTTTTTTCAGCCCAGCCAGCCAACCATGGCTCCAACAGCCATCCCGCCCAAATTCGTTTCCGCCCAAGCAGATATCAACGCGTACAGATGGAAGGGGCAATGGCCACTCGCAGAACAACGCACGAAACGGAAATGCGCGAAATATCATCAGGCTGGGAGCAGTATGGGGTCCACCGTCTTTCCGACCCCGTTCGCAAATCTCATCTTCTAACAGTTATCTCTCCTTAGGCTTCGAAAACCTAGTAGTAGGCGAATCGCTCCTCAACCAAACCCTCCGCTCTTTCTTTACCCACGACGTGCACGCCGATAATGGGTTGGGGAATCAGTTCATTGTCAATTTGTTTCCCGAGGATAGGAGGGAACCGGCGAGGAAGGCCGCGCATGGTGCTGTCAATTATTTGCAACTCGCGGCCGATAAGGCGGATGAGGCGGCGAAGGGGACGTTGGCGGGGGCGAGTTATGTTGCTGTTTTTGAAAAGCAGGTAGGCTTTCGTGAGCGGAGCGAGTGCGAGCGGAGCGAGTGCGAGCGAAGCGAGCCCACTGTAATACCCAGCGCCAGCGAAGTACGAGCGAAGTGGGTTCGTTCCGCGCCGCAGGCGCAATAACTGTGACAGACAGCGAACGACTCGGTTTGTAGGCGAGCGAAGCGAGCCCCTGTCTTCAGCTGTGAGCGATAGCAAACGGTCATTCATAGATATCGCGCCTTCTATCCTTGTCGCGAGCGGAGCGAGCAGGATGTTGTTCATCATCCAATCCACCAACCGATCATTTCTTTCCCTTGTAGCAAGCATATACACTGATCGCGTGGCTGGATGTACATTGCGGACAGGCGGCAGAGGCAGTGCAGAAGCTGCGGTGGTTTGACTTTGCAGAAGCGGAAACAGCCCCACTGGACACAGAGGCTTATACAAAAGTCATGCTACTGGCGGGACTCACCGTGAAAGCAATGGCTCTGCACTTATCCGGTGACGACAACGGCGCACTACAACTTGCGAAACGAGCCATGACGTTCTATGTAAAGCATGAACAAACGAAGGCTCCGGTGCCGAGGAGACCGCGGTATACGTACCAGCCGGATGCAGATCAGTGGCAGCGGTGGTTTGAGATCTCGCATCACTTTCACGCGCTGCTGGCTGCCAAATTGGGGTGAGTCTACCCTTTGCGCCTGCGAACAGCGTGTTTGTCTCTTCTCTCTTCTCTCTGGGGCTCAACCCTATCCGTGGCGGCAGACATCTCGACGACTCGCTCGCAAGTTGTCGGAGATACATGCGGCTACTTCTCAACACCCCCGACACCTTCCAACCACTGGCGAAAGTGGCAGTGCTGGGAATCTACCTCCGATTACTAGCAAAGGTTCCCATCAACTCCGGTCCGCCTCTCCTCCTCGCCGGCGTACCCCAACGCCGCGTCCCATCCACCATCCCCTCCGAAGTCCGGGCCGAAATGCGCCAAATGCTCATGATCTACGAACGCCTGCTAACAACCGTCCTCCCCTTCCCCCGCGGCGAGGACGTCAAACCCCTCGAAATCGAACGCCACCAACGCGTCGAGGAATGCTACGACTGGCACGTGTTCGTCGAGACCTACACGATGCACGACGAGTCTCTGGGCGACACGGCAGACAGACACTACCGCCTCATCGAGAGTCTGTACAGGGGCACCAAACACACCTTCCAATCCATGCGCGTGCTGCGGTACATGTCACACACCTTTACCTCCCTCGTCAACCTCTTCGGCGACAACATGCCCGCCGACGAGAAAATCGAGGGCGAAGCCGCGCTCGAATCATACGTTTTCTACTGGGATAAGCAGTACAAAGCCTCCCTGAAACAACACCGCAAGAACCGCGAGGACGGGTCCACGCCCCGGGAATCACTCGCGGAGCTCTCACCTCTGATCAAAACACTCAGCGAGATGAACCACATGGGCGCCGAACCACCTTCTACGACGCGAGTGACTGCTGTTACGAGGGTGCTGATGGATCACCCTGAGGAACCGGGTGTGCGTGTCACCCCACCTACGCCCGTGGAGAACGGGGCTCGCACGCCGACGACAGCGGCGGAGTCCAGCGCTCCAGCGCCTGTGGAAAATGGAGTGTCTGGCCCTGCGAGGTCGACGACACCGCCACCATCGACGACCAACGGCAACTTGCTCCATTCGTCCCGCCTGGAAGAGAACGAGATGGGGATCGAGACGATTGGCGGCGAGCGGTTGGTGGATGTCCTCGGCGTGTTGTTTGCGGGGGTTCGGATGTTGTCGCATAATGTTGAGGGGCAGGAGGATAAGGCATGTTTGGAAGCAGATTCCTTTCCTTGTTTCTGGGGAGGGGAATGGATGGTATTTCGAATGGGCGGGAATCTCTAACTATTGCTATTGCTTTTGGAATTCTTTAGTTGCGACGGGCGGTAGGATACGCCGAACGCGCGGTCCGGTTAGTGGAGAAGCATGGCCGGTCGTGTGGGCCTGAGTTGCCGGAGTTGAAGCATCTGGCGTACCGGTATCTTGGGGTTACGTATGGGGAGCTTGCTCAAGAAGGTGTGTGGACTTTGCCCTTGTGGGAGGGGACCCTTCAGCACGCGCAAAATAGGAGAATCAAGCAATTTGGAAAGCCCGGCGTATTGATACGGTTTTGTTTTTACGCAGTACGCGACATCCAGGAACGCCGGGATATTCGCAAACGGGCCCTGACAGCGACCGAAAAGGCTACCGAATTGAACCCGAAAGCGTGGGAGGGGATGTACCAGCGCGGATTGCAGCTTGCAGAAGCTGGTGAGGTGAGTATGAGGAAAGCAGGGGCGAACAGCGAAAAAGCAAAGCACCTTTGGTAACGGGGGAGCCGGAGCGCATACTCACCCTATACCCCAATCTGCAGATTACCCTCGCAATAACCCACACCCGCACCGCCCTCACCCTCAACCCCACCCACGCGCCCTCCTACAACCTCCTCGCCCTCCTCCTGGCCGCGGACAAGGACTACACGCGCGCCATCAAAGCGTGCAATGAGGGCGTGCACGCGTGTTTGGAGCATGTCGAGAGTCCGGTCAAGGAATCGGATGGCGCGCTGTTCTTGAAACCGGACCAGGCGGGGAGGGGACATGAGGGCCAGGGGCATGCGGTGAGCAAGGAGGAGTTGATCAAGTGAGTTCCCGCCGGAAAGCATTCTATGGATGATAAAACTCGTAATTAATCACCGGCCGACACGTATGATGATTAGTCTCAAACTCACGCAAATCGTATTGGAATCACACCGCCACGGGCTCCAGCACGGGCTTAAACTGGTGCGGGAGACCTTGCATCTCGCGCGACGGCTGTTGGGGTCGGTGGATACTCTTGATGTGGATGTGGATGTTAGGGTCAGCAAGGAGTATGAGCATGCCCCCCAGGGGTCTGTGCCCCCGTCTGCGTCGGCGGTGCCGGGGCATTTGCAGGTTCCCGCTGTTAATGGGAATATCAATGGTAAGGGGGATGGGGAGGGGGTTTGTGGCTGTGTTCCGGGTGTATACTCACACATTCCGTGCAGGTCTCCAAAGCATCCGCTCTGGCCGCTCCGGCGCCTCCTCCCGCCGATCCACCAAAAAAGACAAACTCTCCAAAGCTTCCAAAGCATCCGCCACCTCCGCCGTCACCACCGCCTCCTCCTTCATCCTCTCCCCCAACGACATCTACCGCTTCCGCGTCCACGACCTCTTCATCTGCATCTGGCTCACCGCCGCGGGACTCTACCGCGGCCTCGACCGGTTCACCGAGGCACTCGCCGCCGTCCGCGAGGCTGAGAAGTTGGCGGCGACGATGGCGCAGATGGATGTTATGTTACGACGGTTGCCGTCACGGATTTATCAGGCTGAGGGAGTCGGGATGCGGAGGACGTTGAAGGAGCATGGACGGTTTAGGAGGATGTTGAGTGCGAGGATGCATCTGGGAAGGAGGAGGGGGAAGGAGGAGCGGGAAGGGGAGGGGGAGGTGGGGAGGGAGATTGAGAAGTGGGGGGCGGTGGGGGTTAATGTGAAGAGGGTTGTCGCGGATGTGGCGTTTGAGGTGAGCTTTTTTTTTTCGTGATTTGGGAAAATGGTCATTGCGCGAAAGCAGATGTGTTGGAAAGTTTTCTGAACGGCAGTTTTGCGCTTGTTTGTTTTTCCTCAGTGCGCACTGATACGGCAGTCCCAATTCAACCAACTGAATAGGCCACTACCGCCCCCGCCATTCCCGCGGTACGTCAGCGCCACCGCGGCCGCCGAAGCCGAGCGGCAGATGAAGGCGTGGAAACGCACCGTCGATAATGGCGGGCTGAGACCGAGTCCGTCGCAGATGAGTTTGACGACGCTCGAGGAGGAACGCTTGGCGGCTGCCGCTGGATCGGGCGACAAAGCCGGGTCCACGAGAGCTGCACCGTCTATACCCAACGGCACCTCGTTACCATCACCGTCACCATCGCCCTCATCTGCACCCACTTCATCAACACAACCACCACCAGCCAACCCCCCAATCTTCATCAACGGCCTTACCCCCACCGCCCACTCCGAACCCTTCGACCACCCCCCACCACCCCCACCCACCCCCGACAGCGACCCGCTAACGCTCGACACCCTCCTCGAAACCTTCTCCCGCGTCGCCGACCTCGACGACGACCACCTCCCCACCCGCGTGCACCTCGGCATCCTCTACCTGCTCAAAAACGAAGTCGGCATCGCGGCCCACTACCTCGAGCGGGCCTGTAAATCCTCCAAGGCGCGCGGCGGCGGCGGCGGGAAGATGGGGCAGGGCAGCTGGTATGGCGGGGCCTCTGCGGCGTGGACGTGGATGGCGTGGAGGAGTTTGAGCAGGTGTCATGTACGCCGGGATCGCGCGGAGGTTGCGCGCGAGGCGGTGTGGGAGGCGGTGAGGGAGCAGCGCGTGTGTTTTGTGAGGGGGTTGGAGTGTTTGGCGAGGATGCCGGATTTGGATGCGTGAGGCGGGGATGGGATTTGTGAGATGCCGCTGGTCGGCAAAAGCCCCCTCTGCTACCTGGCGTGGACATGCCCAATGCGGCTGTGTATTCCGTCCGGACATCCCCACCGGTGACGGCAACACCCCTCCTTATTTTTTTTACATATCCCTCCCCAACACTGTTTTCTGCACATTCTATACTGCATGCCGCATCGTATATAAAGGGTCAAATCATACGGGTTCTGATACATGTTGGAGTTTCTGTTGCCCGACAGGATGGTACGACTTGCGTTTTCGCTTTCATTTTTGTAATTCCTGGGAATTACTTACCTGACACAACCATCCTGCTTTCCCATGCGTTTCTGAGATGTCCTGATGTTTCTGTCCAGAAAAAGTTAAAATGTTCTGTTCCAAGAAAAAGGGGGAATGGGAAAAACAGTGTTTACGTAATCGAGAGGGCAGCTGTTGAATCCCGTCAATTCAACAATTCCGAATTCTTCATCCTGAGTTCCACACCCTCACATCCCCCACCCACAACCCACTCTTGCGCTACAACCGTTCCGTTGGCAGAAAATGTCAGCCGATCCAGAATCAACCACCCCGGAACCGACGGAGACCGCGCAAACCGCGACCGAGCCGGATCCCGCCACTCCCGCCGCCGAGGCTCATGCTGATACGACCGATCCTCCAGAGGGTGCAGCCGTCGGGAGTGCACGGGTAGATACGTCGCCGCTGGAGGACAGCGTCGGCAGTCCACCGGGGACTGCAGATGGGGGCGGTGTGGTTGATACGCTGGCCGGACCTGCGAGTGGGGTGGATAGCGCCGAGAATAATGTACGGGACAGCGGTGACGCGGAGACGAGTAGGGAGGGGACGGCAGAGTCCGGGGCTGACAATCTGGACACTGCAGTGGTTGCGGACGCGGGGGGCTCGGTATCGCGGGCGGCGGGGGATGAGAGTAGCCGGCAGCCCACTGCTGGGAGTGAAGAGGGGACGCAGCCGTCAACGGCTGAGTCTAGGGGTGGGGATACGGTGGCGACGCGACAGGCGGAGGAAATAAGCGGCCGTGGGGATATCGTGGGAACGCCCGTCGTGCCTGTAAGTGTCAGCGAGCCAGCTGGCGTCGATGATGGGACGGGGGGTGCTGCGGATGAAGGGACAAATGCGCTGGAAAGGGTGGTGGTGGAAGGGGCGGTGGTTAAGGTGGCGACGGCGGAGGATGGGATGATACCGGAGTTTGCGCCGGTGGAGGAGGGGGAGGTGGGGAGTGGGGTGGTTGGGGATGAGAGCAGAGTGGGTGAGGGTGCTGCCGGTGAGGGGGTGGGGCCGGTTGTTGGGGAAGAAAGTGCGGGCTTGGCACAAGGAGCTGAGGAGAATGTGACTCAAGATCCGGATGTTGTGGGACCACCAACATTAGAAGATGTGCCGCCGGCTGCCGACGAACCGCTCCCCCGTACGTACTTCACACGAATAACGTTGTGTTTGTAGTTGGGGTTGCTAATACCTCCTGAATCTAGCGGAAGAGCTCCTGTTCCGAGCGACGGGTCTGCGCTCACGCCTGGACGAATGGCATCGGAAACGGTATATGGGCGGGCACCGCGATCGACGCACGGCGGTGGAGTACTTTCATGCGGAGACGCAGACGCCTACCGCGCAGGAAATCAAACAGAGTGTGAGTGGGCAACCTCACTTGCATTCGCATTGCTTCGTTTCCTGAAATTCGCTTTGCGTCGCAGCTGGCGCCGTTGAGGTTCTCACGAGAGACGCAAACAAAAGACCTGAAGAACCGTAAGGTGCAGTCCACCCGCGAGTCCGGTACTCAAATGGTAAGTTGAACACCCTCCCCGTCTCGCATGTCACCCACTCACCGTCCACCCCCTACAGACCAAGCGCGGCGTCTACGTCACCACCGCCACAGACACTATCCTGCACCCGGGCCGGTACACAACCTCGGAAGCGCACGAGCACTTCATCCACACCAACATCGTCCGCATCCAATGCTGGGTGCGGCGACTCAACGCCATTCGCCGGGTCCGGCATCTGCGTAGAGAGCGGGACGACCGAACGCGCGCGTTGCTGGAGAAGGAGGCGAGACGGCGTGATTTGGCTGAGAAGAAGCGGAGGAAAGAGTTGGAGAGTCGGGTGCATCCGCGGACGGGGAAGGATTTCGATGTGTTGTATTCGGGGTTGGAGAGTGAGTGGTTGTCTGAGTCAATTGGGCCGACGGGGGCTTAACTGTGTCTGATTTGGATATTCTTGCACTGTAGCATGGAGACAACAAGAGACCTCCAAAATCAACGCGGCGAACTACTCAGAGCCCGCGCGACTCGCGGCGCTGGCGGACTTGCTTGACCAAGAAGCCGCGCTGATTCAGAAGATCGATCGGTTACAGATCGCTGCTAGTGAAGAGAACAAAGAGCGGAGGATTGTGCGGTTACTGGATTGCGTATGTTACTCCCCTCCATGGTCTGTAAGTGTGGGCGGAGTCGTGATTGCTGACGATGTCGTCCATACCGCAGATGTCATCCCCGAAAAAATGGACGGTCAAGAAGCTCGGTCCAGTAGCCGTCGACACGCCCAGCACAATCCGAGCCCGGGAGCTCAAGGACCTGTACCATGCACTCAATGTTCCGTTGATCTCTGTGGATGAGCGGCTTCAGATCTTGCTGCATGTCAAGTACACGGTTAAGGTACGTGAGTTTTGGTCCTATTGACGCAGCTCGCGGAGTGGAATCAAAGAAGGACGCTGATATCTTCATTAACAGGAATTCGACTGCAACCTCACGCGTGAGATAGTTGAGTTGATTGATCGCGAAGGGGATTTAGTAAGTCGAGGACGGCATGCGAAGAGTATGGAAGGTACGGCGTTTGACTGCCCCACTGAGGCAAATCTCAAACCAATTTCCAATGTGCGCGGAATAACTTTTTATACTACAAAAAGGCTTGCGAAAACGCATCAGCAACCTGTTCTTGCAGTTTATTCAAACGCCCGAGTTCAATCCGGAGGCTATTTCTTATCAAAAGGTTAGCTGAAGAGGACGTCAGAGGGAATCGCACAGAGGCGGGATTTTACAGAGGCTAAAGGATTCTGACATCACTCCAACAGTTCCCCGATGCGGGCCAGTCCTGGAAACGCGATCAAGCAGTCTACTACTGCCGCAGCTGCACCCGCTACCTCCCCTCAACCGAGTTTTATCTCTCCACGACGCTCACGCACCTCGGCAAATGCAAAGGCTGCACAGCAGACGAAAACCTCGCCACAACACGCAAAGACGATTCAGTGTACTCCGACCTGCTCAAGCTCATCCGGCTGCAGGAGTTTCAGAAGCGGGCAAAGACGGGTGTTCCGCTGGACGCGCACTACAACGCCTTGTCGCTGCTGCAGGAGAGCGACACGCGGTTCCTGGTGGAGAAGATTTGGAACCGGCAGAGCGCAGTGAGTGGAAGCCGCCAGTTGGAGTCGCTGGTGCTGACAAGATGGGATCCGAGGGTGGAGTTGTCGCCGTGGAACTGCATTTTGTTGACGAAGGCGGAGGCGGCGACGCATGACCGGGCGGCCGCGCCCAGCGAGCAGTATTCGGAGGAGTTTGTGAGGAAGGTGGTGCAGAAGCATTATGCGGCGAGAAAGCATTTTGCCCAGCTTCCTGCCATGGAGAGGTATCTGCAGAGACATTATGCGGAAAGTGTCGTCCCCGGCGACGGGTTTAGCCAACGCATCAATGAGCCGTCGCTGGGTATTGAGGGCACCGAGATCCAAGTTGGAGGATGATTCCATTGATCCCATAATGGGCGCCGTGTTTTCCTTTATGTATTATATACCATTTTGCGTAAGTTTCTTCGAGCTTCTGGGTGCAAACGCTCGCGACGACCACTTTCCTGTCAATGTATTTTGACAGCATTGACGGCATCCTGTTAATTCTTTTCCAGTCCTGGGCGACCTCTATACCGTTCCGTCCGTTATGGATGGCCGTCAGACTATCTAAGCCCATAGAAAAACAAAAGTAAATGTTTACCACTCACACTATCAAGGTTATGTGTATGCTCTTCCCACATGTTTGCTTTTGCACAGGGGTTGTGAGACCATTTGTTTCTACATTTACAGTCCAGCTTTTATGTACAAACATGTCTACAATGTAACTAGTAAGGCGGTGTATCAGGCGTATCAGAGAGAGAAGAAACAGTATCTACAGGCTGGAAGTCTGCAAGGATATTACTAAGGTATGCTAAAACTTGGTTCGTGAAAAGAAATTCGAGAGGAGCGAGACTCAGCACCAGGGTCCGAAGACAGCACCACCGTAGCTGTTCAAGTGCCAGAAGATCCATGCGGGTGTCAAGATGCTAACGACGTCCTTAGCGATCGGCCATCCCTCTCCATTCAGACATCCCGAAGGTTCACCACCGTCTGCCGGCTCGACACAGTTGCGGGCCTTCTTATCGCCGTCGATGTAGTACTCGGCATTGTGGTGCTGGTAGTCGAGGGTGCCCCATTCACGGCGGGGGACGGTGGAAATGAGGTCGTGGAGGGCGGTCACACGGCGGATCTTGATGGGTAGAGAGTCGACCCAGCGGGCAAAGACGGAGTTGCCGACGCGGGGCTCGCCGTAGGTGTAGAGCTCGATGCGGTTGTTGAGGGAGGGGGTGACAAAGTCGAGGAGATCCAGGGCCTGGAATGGAACATAGCATGAGAACCGGATGGACCCTCCGTGCGGGCTGGAGGTGCCAATTGAGTAATGTTACTCACCGCAAGAACAGCAACAGCTCCTCCCAACGAATGACCGGTCACGACAATCTTGTACTGACTCCTTGCAGGCTGGGCCAAGATGCTAGAAACGGTAGAACGCACACGAGCCTGTGCAACCTCGTACGTCGTCTGGAATCCGCTGTGGACGCGTGCGGCGGCCGGGGCAGCAGTACCCCAACCGGCGCCGTTAACGCCGATGGTCAGCTTCTCCGTGTAGAGCTGGAGGTCGCGGAAGAAGTTGAGCGGGAACAAAGTGCCGCGGAAGGAGATGATGATGGTTTTTTGAGCGTCGTTGTAGGCGACCTGTTTTCGGTTTTGCGGGTGGGGTTATTATGCGCTCAACATGGCTCGCTACAAGAAGTTGTGAAAGGCTTTCTTACGTAGCCAGTAGTGGAGTCTTTGTAGAAGTGGTCCACCAGGGTCGTGCCTTTCGTCAGGTCGTTCGTGCAGCGCTCGTTGCAGTTCCACTTGCTGATAGGGGGGAGACGAGAGCGCAGCTGGTCAATCGGAAGCTCAAAAGTTAACATTGCCGCAATACATGTCACGTACTAGTTTAGATGCCACTTAAAGCAGTAAGCAGCACCAGCATACAGCTGGTATCTGCTAATCTCAGTCGCATCGGCAGCATCAGCGTACGGGTCCGTGAGGAGGTTTTTGCTGAATCCGTTGACTGTCGTCACCGTGGGGCTCCAGCTCGCCGGGTTCGGGGCGGCGCCGTTGCCGGTGAACGAAGAGGGCTTCTGAGCAAGCGCTTTTTGCACGTTGGCGATAGCGGCGGAGTCCAGGTTTCTGATCATGGCGCTGTTCGCGGTCGTGTTATAATTCTGTTGGAGATTGATGCGGTGTTAGAATGAGGTTCTGATCGTCCGCGAAAGACATCGTAAGTATGCTCGCCGCATCTTAGTGACTTACCTGGCTCAAAAACTGCAAACGCTGCTGCTGGATCTCCGCGTCGGTCAGCGAGTTTCTCGCAGGTGCGGCAGTCACCGTTGACAGGAGGCAAAGGGCCACGGCGGCGACGCCAGTGGTGAAGCTAGCAATGTGCATGGCTGCAGGGACAGGAGCTCTACTTGGACGATAAGGGATGGCGCGGAGGCTGAAGCAAACCAGCTGCTTTTCAGATGCCGGAAGAGGACTAACTCGATGCGATGGAGGAATGTGGTGAAGTTGAGAGGAGGGATGGCGTGGGCCCGTGCCCTTTTATAGGAAAAGCCAATGATCCTAGAGGGGTTGCAGAGATGACATTTGCCCCTTGCTCCTTCGCACGCACAAGCACCTCTCGCATCCGTTCACTCTCCCCCTTGCTCATCGCGAGAATCCGCCAAGCCGCCTCGCATCAGGTGGGTCTCACCTACGATAGTCATCGCAGGTCATGGAGTAGCGAGCGCTCGTGCTTTGATCCGTTTGTGTTGTGCATAAACTTGGATGGGAGGTGAGGCAGTCGCAGCGATGCATCAGAACGAGCATACGAGATGCAAGAAGGCTTGATGATGCATCACGACAGATGCTTTTTTTGATTCTTTTCGTCTACATCCCGATGCGTGACAGGCGGCGGTTGTGCGCTTGTGGAGGGCAAAGATGCTATCCTCTGTAGCTCATGTGCTCTATGGGGCATTGGAGAAGGTTATCGGGTAGGGTCGTCCGAGATTTCCGATGGGGATGGACCGGCGGGCCGCACCGTCGCACGCCGTGAGGTCATGCTTGAGAGGATTGGAGAAGAGAAAAAATGTGCTGGCCTTGTGGAGCGCAACCTGCACTGATGCATTATTTTCAACGGGGGTTGGATATCATTGTCTGCGGCGGTGGAAGAGCGAACCCTTGGAGCGAGCGGAGAGGCTCTTGAGGCTTGTGCTGCCAGCTCTGATGATGATGGCTATCGCGAGACAAAACTTTCATCCACCGCGGAGGATGCTCCCCAGTGGGTCACGACCAGGGCAATCAACATCTCAGTCTCTTTCTTCGATCAAAGCAAGCAAGAATGTTGCATCGACAGGCAAGGGACGACGTCAGGTGCGTTTCACCAACAGCACAAATCCCTTCTTCTACTGCAAGACGAGACGGCCTATGGAAAGGGTGACGGTAACCTTTTCTTTCGTCCGATGCCGAGGAGGACATGTCGAGTCTCTGGCCCAAATGTCCATCCGCCAAGATGACGTCGGGCTTAGATCAAGCGGGAGAAAGCACGAGGGGTCAGGAAAGCAGATTTTGCACATGGCCGCCTCAACGAGACGCTGTGGGGGAGGTTGAACAAAGAAGGGGTGAATGCGATCGGGTGTCTTGTCGCATCTGTGTTCATGCGCCGATCTAGAGAGGTTTGAATCTCCCACGGGCTCGCATACACACAGTACTTTGTCCCAGCACCTCGGAGTTTCCTCGTGCACCCTCTCCATCTGATGAGTGGCCAATGTGTTATGTGAAAGCCACCGAGAGGTGGGAACCACCGACGAAGATGACGAGGACCGCGGAGTCGGACCGACATAACATCTCCATCCACGAGGGAACTTCAGGGAAGATGTCAGATGGCAGTTCTGTTGCAACCTCGGTTTTGAGGCGATCAAAGGGCAAGGGGAAGGAACACTCTCTTGTCACAAACGCGTCGCGCAGCCCTCCCCAGTGACTTTCAAACTTCGAACCCAGATGGTTTGGTCGGCCCGCCATCCCGCACGCAGCTCACCCAACCCTCTATGTGCAACCGTCTTCCAACCCGCCGACGGCACATGGTAGTCGGCGTAGAGAATGGAGGGAACTCCTGCGGGTTCAGAGGAGGCTCATGCTGTGCAGTGCGGGCAAGCATCGCGTTTACCGTCCATCAACAGGCGAAAGTCAAGAGTGGCTGCATCGGGCAGCAAGCCTCCGTCGAACCTTGTCAAGCGTTTTGGGCTCTTACCGCCGATTGTATATGCTATCGCACATGTACTGACCAAACATGGGACTGAGAGCGGAATGTGATGCAACTATGAGCAAGATTGGCAAAGCGGATGCAGAAATCCCGACATCCCGCACCGAAAGAGAGTGTCGTCGACCTGAGAGTCAGTTGCCAGTCAACGCCAGTCACATCAATGATCGGTGAGGCCCTCTTCCCCGACGTCCGCGGCGCCTCATCCACAACAAAAAGTTATCTCCAACGACGCCAACCCGAAGTGACCGTCACGGTCGGACTCGTTTGAGCGCAGTTTGCAACTTTGCACAACAAGCGCAGCGCACAAATGCAACTCATAGGGACTGGTACTGTACCACCATCTCTTCTTTCAACTTTTTCTAAATGTTTCCGGGACACGCCAACGTCATCTCTCGTAATCTACTAGCCGATGGAACCCGGGTAGAGAGGCTCGATATAAACTTTTCGAGAAGCACAAGAACGTTTGTTCTGTGTCCCCCTGCGGTGAACGTTGTATTTTGCTATCGTCGGAGTCCGGACGGCTGCCCCTCGTGCGTCGTGAACGTGTGGAGAGGCTCAGAGGCAGGATGGTGTCTTTTCTTTTTCACCCAGGTGGTCTCTCACAAATATCAGTCAGGGAGACGGGGTGGGTAAGGGTGAATGCCGCCTTGCGACGCTTTCGCTGTTCGCCGTAGCAAGCAGACGATCTCAACCCTCCACGGCGGAAAGCTCGCCGGCAATGGGATTTTTTCTTGGTCTCGACGACAGAACAGCCCTTCCTCACTCGAACTAATAAGTACACATATACTGTACATATAGACAGTCGTCCAACCAAAAATCGCCATTCACCGACACTCATGATGTCCTTGCGCCGTTTTCGCTCCCTATATCCAATGTCACCTCTTGATAGACTTTGCGGCGGGATCTTTGACAGCGTGACGGAGGGATAAGCCATACAGCAGCGGTCTTCTCGATGGAAAGATGATATATTGGATGGAGGTAAAAATGGGAAAGTTAGCAGACGTCTTCACAGAAGCGCGCTCGCTGGGCGAGATGATAAAAACAAAAACATTCCAACGTACAGATGGGCAGGATACACATTATCCTCAGCACCCCCGCCCTCCTCTGACGGCTTTTTCGGCCCCAGCTCTAAACCCAACTCATCAGCGAGGGCTTCACGTTTGGGTGGTCTGCGCGGCAGGTCTGCTTCGGCGGCAAACACGGAGAGACTGTGCCGGTAGCCCATGTATCGCATGTATTCCCGGATAAGCTCGTTGACGAGATCGGCTTGTGGGCTGTTGGCGGGAGGTCTGGGTGCTTCCTGAGTGATGAAGGTCGGAGAGGATGTGGGAAGGGTTATGAAATGTTGGATCCGCCACGACAGCTTTCGGTACGTCCCTTCCCATAAAGCCCAAAACAGACAGCCCACGCCTACCGAGTCCTGCAGCGAGTCAAACACGGATGCACGGATACGTGCTCTCAGATCTGCCAGCACTCCGGTCGTTTGCAGGTTCTCTTTCAAGGCTGGGGTGTGTATGAGTGAGTACGAGGTATGCAGCATTTTTACGAAAGAACGCGGCAAGATTGCCTACCATCTTTGAGGTCATCGTAGGAAGCGGCACCGCCATACTGCTCGGCGCCAGCGCCAGGAGCAGCGGAACGTGGGCGGGCGGTTGAGGATGCTTGTGCCATTACTTGCACGTTCTCCTGGTTCGCACCACTGTGTGTCAATTCCCTTGGAAAAGCTGGGGACAGAACGCGTCGTTCCGTTTTGGCCTTCTGACAATAGGGGAATCGGCATTGCGAAGCTGATTGCGAAGCGAGGACGACGGCATCCGACAACCCAAATAGGAACCCCCACACCCCCACACCATGTCTCACTGTCACGACGAGCACCATGACCACCGCGGAGGTGGAGGACATGGCCATGGGCACGATCACGATCACGACCACGACCACGACGGCCCTGACCGAGGCAGCGAGTACACTCTCTACCAACAGGTAGATCTGGACAACGTCACCTGTCTGAACGAAAGCGACGACGGCGCCATAAAGAAGGTGTTCAAGACGTGGGACCAGCGAAACGATAGGACGACCTTTGTGGAGAGTGATGTCGATGAGCAGTTGATTGTGCATATACCGTGAGCGGGCCCGCTGCTGTTACTTCAACGTCAAGTGAGAGGGCTTACGGTTGGGGTGGACAGGTTTACGGCGAACATCAAGTTAAAGTCGATAGCAGTGGTAGGCGGGCCGGGTGAAGAGGCGCCAGCGTCTATGAAAGCGTATGTGATGCAGTCTTTGCGGAGTTCCCTTTCCCGGGTGTACCGTTTGACTCAAATACTTGCGATTCTTCGTAGATACGTGAACCGAGCAGACCTCGACTTTGACACAGCCGAAGCGACTCCTCCCGCGCAAGAATGGGAGCTCGTGCACGGCGATACCACATCGACTGCAGCTGCCTTGATCCCCGAATATCCGACTCGTATGACGAAGTTCCAGAACGTTAGGCATCTAACGTTGTACTTTCCTTCCAACTTTGGCGCGGAGGTGACGAGGATCTTCTACATTGGGCTAAAGGGCGAGTGGGATGTGATAAAGAAGGATCCGGTCATCACTGTTTATGAGGTAAGATATGGCAGGTTTGAACAACTCCCACATTTGAGTGACATTGGTCTTGATTCCGTCTCTCTCCATCCACTTGCAAAGCTTGCGGCGAACCCAGCAGATCACAAGACGAAAGCCGACAACTTTGCAGGGAGCATGATTCAGTAGGAAGATTGGATTGCTTCTCATCTGCCATGATGAGGACTTTTCTGTCGATGCGCCCAGGCCGGAAGGAGTCTTTGATCATGGACGATCCGACTTACCTCTCCTTTGACGCGGGCAGTGGACTAGCTCTCTTCGAAAAAGATGAATCAAGATTTAGTCACGGCCGCGCAGGCTCATTGTGTCTCATCGCCGGAGACAGGAGCGGGCACAATTTGCTTGCACCAACACATCCTTGTGTGAAGCTCCGATGAGGGCCAAGCGGGAAGGTCCCCGTCGCTTGGAGAACGCTGATATGAATTCAGTTGTGCGTCATCTGGTTAATGCGGCTCCCCCTGCGTGTCCTCAGTCATGGGAATACCGTCCTTCTAGGAGGCAGATAGTCATCAGTTGTAAGGAAATTCACGGAATACATGTAGATGGTGACTTCGGCTGATAGATTTCATTTGCAATTGCAACGTTGTATAACATAGATCATTGGAAGCTGAGGTTTTGCGGTGTGCGCGTTGGGCACAACATGCTTGGATTCCGAGCAGGGAAGAAGTAGTAGGAACCTCGAAAACGCGTCCGAGACAACAGGAGAACACGTCGGGCGCTGCTCACGTCACGGGTAACACTTCTTTCTCCGACGCGTTCGGCGGTTGCCAGAATGATAATCCTAGATTCTCAGAATGCACAACCCGTGGACCCTGCGAAGATTCCATTTCGAACTCATCCCTACATGAGCTTATTTTCCCGCCATTCCAAGAGGCAGATCCCCCACGCAGATCCTTCAAAACGCAAGCGTGCAAACTCCGCCGGCCTTAAAAGCTATGCCAAGCGCATAATAGCGCTGCATCCCTTCTCTCTCACCAGACAGATCATACAATGCAACATCACCCAACACCACCGCCCTACGCCTACAGCAGCCCACTGCCCGGGTCATGGCCAGCCCACTCTCGGACTGCAGACGGCGAGTACGTCCAAAGTTTTCCCAATGTCACCAATCAACATCAACAACAGCAGCCGTATTCTCCTCAGCAACATAACAACGAGCGCTTCTACCACCTCCCGCCACCGCCGCAGCATGCACGGTATGGATCACAGCCACCGCCTGTCTCGAAATCGCTTGGGTACGGAGATTATCCGCCGCCGCCTGCGTCGTCGTACAGTGCGGGGAGTCCCGGGCGGTCTGAGCAGCGAAGGGTGTGGCCCGAACGTATGGGCGGTCAACGGTGCGTGTCTCCTGCAGTATTGAGAGATTTGTGTGGGATTGGGTTACATGACTGTTTCTGATGGATTCAATCGCAGGTTGCCATTACCATCGGCGCCTCCAGAAGCGGTGATGACAGATGGGAGAGGGCGGTATCAAGGTCGGTGAGCCCGGCGGCTCTGCTGTCACATCAGGTGTTTTCACGATGGATTAATAGTTTTTACATTGCAGATACGCACTACCAGGATAATGGATACGCTTTTTATGCCGATCCCAGGACTGCGACGAACATTCTGAACGAAACAAGTGATGGCTCTGGGCGATCGTCCAGGCAGGGCTCGGGTATGTATACCACTTTGTACAGAGTGCGTGGCACTTCTATCTTGGTAACCAAAAACTACTGTTCTGCAGACATCGAAACAGGCGACTCGCCCCACTCCTCCACTGAAAGCCTCAACCCCAGGCGTGGCTCCTCGTCCTCCTACTACTCCCACCTCGCCGCCGAACAAGCCGCCTCGCAAAAAGGCCCACGAGCGCTCCAAGACCCCTTGGTGCGCGCGCAACTCCTCAACCAAAAACGGCACAGCCCTTACTTCCTCATCCTCATCACCACCGCGCAAATCGCCGCTTTCCTCGGCGAGCTGTACATGAGCTGGAAACGCACGGGGTCACCGATCCAGACTTCCCCCGATTTCAACTACATGATCGGACCGGGCCCGGGTACGCTGATCAGTATGGGCGCGCGGTTCGTGCCGTGCATGCGGACCGGGACCGGATATGAGAGCTCGGACGCTCTGCAGTGTCCTGTGGGCACAAAGGGCTCGCTCGCAGGGGGCACGCTCTGCACATTAAATGACATATGCGGGATGTCAGGCCTCGCCGACCCCAAACACCCAAACCAATGGTACCGCTTCATCACCCCGATCGGGCTCCACGGCGGCGTCGTGCACCTGCTCTTGAACCTCAGCTTCCAGATCCGCACGGGCTTCGCGATGGAGCGTGATTTCGGCTGGTGGCGGATGCTCATCATCTACATGAGTTCCGGGATCGCCGGGTTCATCTTCGGCGCCAACTTCAACCCGCTCACCCCAAGCGTCGGATGCTCCGGCTCTCTGTACGGCCTCCTCGCCTGCCTCCTCCTCGACCTATTCTACAACTGGCAGCTGATCACCCGCCCGATCCGCGAGCTCTTCTTCCTGTTTATCCAAATCGCCATCTCGCTGCTCATCGGGATGCTGCCCTACATCGACAATTTCGCGCACATGGGCGGGTTTTACACTGGTTTGCTCGCCGGGCTTGTGTTTATGCCGACGATATATTTCAGCGAGGGGGATAAGTGGCGCAAACGCATGTTGGCGGTTCTGGCGTTGCCTGGGTTGGGGCTGGTGATGTATTTCCTGTTGAGGGGGTTTTATCGCGCGGGTGATCAGGGGGCGGATACGACTGGTGGGTGTGCGTGGTGTAAGTATTTGAACTGTATACCGGGGATGCCGTGGTGTGATCAAAAGTGGGATGTGGCGACGACCGCGGGCGGGAATGCGACGAGTGCGGCGTCCTGATCTTGGCCACCGGCGCACATCGGAGGGACATCTGGTTTGGTTTTCGTTGCGTCGACCCCCTTTCTACCGAGACCGGATCACATTTTCCGCGGTTTCTTCATCCACGACTATCCGACGACGAAAGGATCCGATACCCCCCATTTGTAAAACGTATGAGCATACCCATCCTATTTCTACTGCCTCCTCACTGGGGATCTCTGCATCTATTCTCTCTCTCTCATGTACTATGTACGTAAAGTATCATTGTCCCGCAATCGCATGGTAAATGTGCACAATAATGTGTCATGTGCGGTCAATCATTCATATTCGCGGCTCGAGGCTCCACAGGCAAACATGTACATGTACAAATAAGGGTCAAAGAAGAAATGCATGAAATGATGCGGTAGGTGCCAAGTGAAGGGGAAAAGACGTAAAACATGATGCCCCGAAAAGTACGAAATGTGTGGTTGCTCCAAGGTGAGGCATAGAAGACGACGAAAGGCTATGTATACAAAGTTGGGGTGATTTACTGTCCGTGGTATCAAGATCGTCTGAAGGCCAGCTTGACGGATATGGAGCCGCCTCGGACGTCCTGTAAGGGCAGGGTGATGACTTCAGTTTCTTTTTCGCCGTAGTATTCTCTGTGTAGCGGGAGAGAAGGGGATGGTGAGATGCGGGTTGAATGATCATGTAGGTGATGAGGGAGGTACTTACAGTAGGTCCAAAGACAGCGCCGCATGTCCGAGGTATTCTGAAAAATGACGACCGACGGCAAGGTTAGTGAAGCTAGTTCGAATTATCCAAAAAATAAACAAGTCCTCACCATCCTGCGAATACCGATCATAATTGAACAACGACAACTTAAGCGTCTCGTCCAGACTCAGCACCGAGAAGACCAAGGTCTGGTTCCAATGCGGTGTGCGCGAGTTGACGGTGCGCGTCTTGACTTGCTGCCGGTTGAGTTGCACGCGGGCGTAGATCTCCAGTTTGTTGCCTAAACAGCCAAAAAAAAAACCCATGAGTCAACCATTTCTCTTTCAAAAGGGGTCACCGATTCCCACGATACCTTTAGAAGCAGCCCCTCCAACCGCTAACTCCTTCCCCTCGAGGACATTCACCGACAAGGTCCCAATCGGTCGCCCCTCCACAAACCGCCCGCCCTTCCACGCGCCCTCAGCGAGGGATTTCTCAGCAACAAAGTACTGGCGGGTCTGCTCCTCCAGGGTGTTGACCCATTTGCGTTTGGCGGCGGCGGAGGGGGCGCGCACAGTTACGGCGTCTTGGCCATGCACGATTTGGAAGCAGGCTTCGTCGACCGGCGCGACTTCTTTGCCGACTTTGTGCGGGTCGCGGACGGCGATTTCGTTGAGAGGCATTGGCTGCGGGGTTTGATTACGGATGTGAGTGAACCAACCACTTTGACCTCGCACCAATGCATCCTCCAAGCAATACCTTCTTATACAACCCATAGGTATACCCCTTAACATTCCGCTCCTGTTTCCCCTTAGGCTGGGCGAGTAGTAGCACATCATTGAACAGATACGCATGCAGTTTCCGCCCACTCTTGCTCTTCGTCAGGTCGCCCTCATGGATAAAGATGCGGGGTCCAAACACGCGCGTCGGGGCCGTCAGATCCAGTTTGTGCTCCTGTGTTTGAAACGAGGGTAAGTGTGCCGTAAACATGTGACCAGATGAGGGACGCCGACAGACATCTTCCTCCCTACCTCATTACAACTCAAATCCAACACCCTCCCAACCTCCTCCAACTTCTCCTTACTCTCCCTCTCCCTCGCCGCCGAATTCACCATCTCCGCCTCGCGCTCACTCATCGCCAGCGCCCTCACAACCGCCTCATGATCCGGATGTGCTTTCGGCGTATAATGCAGCACCTGCTTCAACAACAACGAGTACCGCGTGATCCGCTGCATAGGCTGCAACAAAAACGAGCTCAAATCCAGCGATCGGCACAGCGGGTTATTCGTCTGCTCGCGTTTCAGAAACTCCTGCAGGCGCGGGTTGTCCGTGCGGCATTTCTGGAGGACTTTGAGCGCGTGGGCAAAGTTGCCGCAGTAGGATTGGTACACAGTGAGCGAGCCCGCGTGCCGGACAAAGATCTCGCCAATGCCGTCGATGATGAAGTCTTGCTCGGTTTGGATGGCTTCAAAGTCGGAAAGGATGACCGCGTTAACGAGCTTGATGTCCTCAATGTTGGCGAAGATCGCGGCCAGGTCTGGCGGGGAGAGCATGCCGGACATGGGTCCGTAGAAGGTATGGCAGATGGATTCGAGGTCACGTACGTAGCTCTGCTCGGTCGCGATCAGCTCGAAGATGGCTTCTTGCCGTTTGCGCTCGTCGGCCGGGATGGAGGGGAGGCGAGCCGGGTCGACTTTCGTCGCCCATGATGTCGACGCTGATGCTTGGTGGATCGTGTTTAGACTGTTGCTCTTCGACAGCCCCCCGCCGGTGGATCCAGGCACGTAAAGCGATGCCGCCGCACCCGTGCCCGTATTATCCTCCAAACTCCGTGACCGGCCCCCACCACCCACGCTGGCCCGCCCTTGCTCCCCGGCATCCTCATCACCCCACGTACTTAAACTCTGAATCGTGAACGACGTCGACTTGGGCATCATCTGCCGCTTGAACTTGCTCGGTAGCGGCGGGGTGGCATACCCGGCATTAAACCCTTCCCCAGCCGTACTACTCCGCCCGCCAAGATCCCCCGACGAGCTCTGCGGTGTATACTCCCTCACCCCACCCTTCCCCGGGGCCATCCAGCTTGGAATCGCGGACGCATCCCTCGTGTTCGGCGCGGGCCGTTCGCGTAGGTAATTGGCAGGAACGAGCCCGGACTCCCCCTTGGCGTTCTCGACCTTCCACCACTGTGTGTCGGAGTTGTTGTCGAGAACAGTGATAGCGTCGCCGACGGCAAGGGAGAGCTCGTCGGGAAGTTGTTTGTCGTAGGACCAGATGGCTTCGGCGTAGTAGAAGGAGTCGGCGCGGGTTGTGGAAGGGTCTTCGTGCACGTCTAAATAACCCAAATCGTCAGTCCAGATACCCCGTGATCCTTGTATTCACAGCACCTCGTACAACTCACCACTCTCAACATCAGAAACGCTACTCGCATCCCCGTGTGTCCCCAGCCCTCCCTCCCCAACAACCTCAACATAATTCCTCGGCACCCACCCACTCCTTTCACTCACACGTCCATAAAGCCACTCCCCAACCTCCCTCTCCACATCCACCACATCCCCCACCTCCAACCGCAGATCGTCCGCGCGGGCTGGCTCAAACGCGAACAGCGCGCGCGCTTTGAACAGTATCGGTTCGGAGGCCGGGGTGGTTGTGACGATGACTGGCTCATGTGTCGCTGGGGTAATGGTGGTGGTAGAGCGAATGGCATCAGCATACCCGCTCTTCTCGAATTTATCCGCGAACACGTCGCTGAGGGCTCGTTGGGATCGCATATCCTTCTTCTCCTGCTGCAGGTCTCCCTGCCCCGAGCCATGTTCAGGACCGTGATGGGAGTGATGATGGTGGTGGTGATGCGCCTGTAAATGGCCATGAAGAGGGGACACAGCATCCCCCTGCTCCTTCTTTTCCTCCTCGACCATTTCCCACTCGCTTTCGGTGCTGCTGCGTTGGGTTGGAGATACCGGACCAGCTGTTGCTGTCGTCGATCCCACAACAGGGGGAGGGGGAGGCGGTGGCGGCGGATACCCCTGGGAAGTCTTCACAGGCGACGGGGGTCTGCTCTGCTCCCTTTTCTCCCCATCTTTGTTGTTGTCGGTAGTTGAAGTTGAAGAGGTGATACTCCCCACAGCCCCGCCAAGCACACTCGCCAACCCCCCTTGCAAAGATCTAATCCGATCGCTCACTTTGCCCACCGCTCCAGCGCCAGCGCTGAGGGCGTGCATTGCGAGGGGGGTGATGACTGCCCCAATGTCCGTTGGGATCGGCAGTGTTTTGGTGGGTGGTGGTGACGAGTCTGGTTGTTGGGTGGTTGATTTTTTGCGAGGAACAATGACGGCGCCGGGGGGTGGCGGTGGTGGGGGTGGGGGTATCCCGCCTGAGGGTATCGGTGGTGGAACTGGTTTTGCAACCCCGAATTCGGACGTCCGTCGCGGTACAGCCGGCGGTGGAGTATGAGTCGTCGAAGCACTCTCCTTAACAGCCTGATCCCGCTCCCGAATTCTCTCCATCACCGAAGGTCCTTTCGGATGTTGTTGTTGCTGCCCCTGTTGTTGGTGCCCATCCCCCGAATTCGAAACCGACGGCCGTCTCAACAACTGCGGCGCGCCACCAAAACTCGGTCTTCTCGCCCCATCACCACCGACCCCGGTCCCCCCACCCCCACCCCCACCTCCGCTCACACCACCAGCATTCGACAACCTTCGCACCGGACTCACACCCGGACTCGGCGGTATCCTCTGCGACACACCACCGCCGCTACCACCACCACCACCACCTAATTTTCCCGGGGCAGGCACCACCTCACGCTCCTTACCTGCCCCCGACCGAAAATCCTCCCCTAGCAGATCCCGTTCCTGCTCCCTCAACCTCCTCATCGCTTTCTCTACTTCATCTTCTTCCTCCACTCCCTCTTTTCCCCCGCCGCCACCACTACTCCCAAACCCGAGAGATGCAAAGGGATCTGCGGAAGATTTGATAGGGGAGGCAGGCTGGGACGGTGTGGGTGCTGCGCCGCTCCCACCACCGAGTCCGAACGCCCCGAACGGATCCCCGGAAGATCTAACGGGCGAAGCGGGCTGAGACGTACCCAAACTCGCGAACGGGTTCCGACTTGGTGTTGTCGGCGTACCCGGAGCCGAGGCGGCTAGTTTAGCAGCCTGGCGTTCCTTGACGGCTTTGATAGCTGCGGCAGCCTGGGCCACGACGTCGTTTACGCCCGTACCTGCCAACGCCGCTGTTGCTGGGATGGATTGGGTGGGTTGGTACGATGTGAAAGGTGATTGTGCTGGTTGGAGGGTGGGTGGCCCGAATGACGGGGTGCTGGTTGGTGGTGGTGGTGGGGGCGGGGGTGCGGGGTTTGTATCCCCAGTTGGGGTGGATGGAGACCGGTCGGGGAGTGTAGGTGCAGTGGTTGGCAGCGCACTCTTTACGGCGGCCGCGGTGGTGGTCAACGCGCTCTTTACAGCGGCCGCGACGCCCCCCGTTGTGGTGTTCGACGCACTTGGCTTATCCGTATGTGCAGAAGTTGGCGGGGTAGATTTCACAGGGGACGTAACACCCGTGGTATCCGACAAGGCAGGTTTACTCCCCGCTCCCGTGCCAGGCAACGCCGTGAAATAATTAGCAGGCACCCCCGGCGCATTCGTCAAATTCGCAAACAGCGCCGCCGCAGACGGCGGCGGTGGTTGTGTCGGTTTCGGTGACACGGGTGAGACCGCCGAGGACGCAATGTCGGTGACAACATGTGTAGCGGCAGCGACGGTCCCCGCAACGGCTCCGATGACTGTTCCGGCCGCAGCGCCGACCTTGGAAAGGACGGAGGTTGTGGTGGTGGGGGTGGGGGTGGGGGATAGGAAGCCTCCTGTAGTCGACTCCCTCGGCGTGACCGGCGAACCGGAAGCAGCACCGCCTAACTCCAACACAACCCTCCGTACATCCTTACTCTTCACGCCCACACCCTGTTCCCATTTCACCCGTTCCGCAACGCTCGGGTTCCATCCCGCACCTCCATTATTCCCTCCGGTCACTTTGACAGCGTTGATTTGGGCCATGAGTGAGCGAACACGGTCAGCGGCGTCGTCCAACTCTTTCAAAATATTCCGCTTCTCCGTTTCTGCGGCGGGTACGGCCGCGTGGTCTGTCTGTGCCGACGAAGGCGCCGAGACCGGCGCCGAGACCGGTGAAGCAGGCGCACTAACACCCAACGCGGCCATCCTCGCCGCCAACAACGCCGCCGCCTTACTCTGCAACGCATCCGGGCCCGCTGCCGGTGTCGCAATCAAAGACCCGCCCTGCGCCTTCCGGATTTTCTTGTCGGCCTGGGTGTTGGCCAATTGTCTGCAATCCGCAAGCAGGGCGTTGATCTCGCGTTCCATGGTCGTTGCTTGGTCTTTTACACGTGTAGCGTCGCCACCCGATCCAGAGCCCGGGCGAGAAGATTTCACCTGCGCATGGGATCGTCGTGCTTCAGCTAGGAGTTTGTCCACCTCGATCTTCGTCTGTGTTGCTGTTTTGTTTGCAGTTGCGATCCCTTCCTTGACCGCAGCCAACTCCTTCTTCTTCTCCTCCAACTGGCTCACAACCGCCCTCCTCTTACTCTCCTCCGCGTCTCGTTGTTCCTGCACTTTCCTCCGTTCACCCAGATTCGGGCTGTTCCCCGCCGAGGACGCAATGCCCAGGGGATCATTACTCCCAAACAGGCTACTGGTACTCGCATGCGGGGATGATTGTCCCAGGTTCTTTTTCTGGACGATGTCTGTTAGGAGTTGGCTTTTAGCGAGGGAGGTGAGGGAGTCGAGGTCGCGCGTGGAAGGCGGGATGAGTTCAGGGGGTAAGGTTTGAGGGAGATCGCGGCCGTTGAGTTTTTGGTAGACGAGGTGCATGGCGACGGCGAATTCGTCGGCGTTGAGTTTGCCGTGATTTTGCATGTCTGCTAGGTTCCTATTCGAAAGACCGGAGAGAGGTGAGAATAAGGAGACGATTATCGCATTTCTGATTCGATTGTACGAACCAGATATGTCCCAGTATCCCGTCCGGAAGCCCAGACTGCGTGAAAATCGACCGTGCGCGATCTCCCGAAATATATCCCGAGTTCTGCGGATCCCACACCTTGAAAATGGCATCATACTGCTGCTTCTCCGTCGGGTCTACCGCCCACCTCCGTTGTTGCTGGTGCTGTTGCTGTTGATGGGTGGGCGCCTGAGCCACTAGAGGTCCTGCGAAGCCGTCCAGGACAGTGACTCCCGTCGGTACACCGGTGAAACCGCCAGATCGCGGGTTGGGCCCTCCAGTGTTGTGTTGACTGGTTTGGCCGGATGGGTATACTGTAGGGGCTGGTTGGTGTCCGCCATAGCCGCCACCTGTCGAATGAGCGCTCACGTTTCCTGAGGACGCGACTGTCAGATGCGACATTCCAGTGTCGTGTGTGGGTATCTGCTGATGAGGCGGCTGTTGCTGTCCACCACCTCGGCCAAACAGGTTCGCGTTGCTCGCGGCTAAATGTTGTCGTACAGCGTCCGGTAATTGGGAAGCCGGGAAGGTTCCGTTGCGAGCCAGCTTTGCGAGATGCATGGCTACGCAGAACTCTGCGTATGTGAGGAAGGTTGGCCCGGTCGTAGCGGAGAGAGTCCAGATGCGTGCCAATATCTCATTCGGCAAGCCGGATTGGAGCAGGAAGTTGCGAGCTGCCCCAGCTAATGTGGTGCATCACAGCACATGCAAGAACGGATTAGTTTTTGCAGTCGCATATGATCTGAATAGCGGTACCATCAAAGATCTTACCGGCGAGCTGACCAGAAGCGGAAGGTCCCGCCTGCTTGAAGAAGCCCTCATAACTCACAAGATCAGATTGCTCAATGAATGGCAGCGAGACTGTGGACAGGAAGAACATATGTAAGTACGGAATGATGTAGACGACAGGCCGCTCGCTCCTCTCGCGAAATGGGTATTGGGCTGGATGTGTGATGCACGAAACAGGCTCGGCCTCACTACACGTGAAGCATCCATGCGCCTCGCTTCGTTCGCTGCAGTTGAAGCTCGATGCTATCGGCCCAGCGTATGCCTATGATGAGTGCCTTTGGCTCATCCGCCTCGCTTCGCTCGGGCTCACTTCCACTGGATCTCATTGATGGACAACACACCCACCTTGACTTGCAAGTGATGCGCCTCCTCCGGTACCACCGTTAGACTGCATCTGCTGTCCGTTGGAAAATTGCGCTTGTGGTTGTTGTTGTTGCGGCTGTTGCTGGAATTGCTGTTGTTGGGGTTGCTGCTGATAGTACTGCTGTTGCTGCTGCTGTGGTTGCTGGTTCCAGGCCTGACCTCCTTGGAAACCCTGCTGTTGGTTCTGTTGTTGACCATAACCTCCAGCACCACCACCTCCGGCCCCGCCCTGCTGGCCTGTGCCGTAGAACGACATGACTGCAGCGGGAATGACCAATCGAAGGTGAGACGGGAAGCCAGAAGCGCGACGCCTGTTGCAGCCGTATAACTAGCCCTCGGTAGAGCGAGCTCTGAGTTGTCTAGGCAGCTGTGTGTTGCGATATGGCCCGTCCAGCTGTCTGTCTGTCTGTCTGCTTAGCGGTTTGCGAGCGATATTATACTGTAACAAGGGCTAGCGGTTGACCTCCACTCTGGGCGCAACACGTCACAGGAACAACAAGCGGGCGGCGCGTCCTCCCTCCCTCCTCCTCCTCCTCCTCCTCCTCCTCCTCCTCCTCAATGTCTGTTCGCGAGCTTGATCCCAACGACGTTATCAGACTCAAGCAAAACGTCGGTCAATCCCAGCGGCACGTTCCGGTCCACTCTGACTTTCAATTTCGGGGCGCTTCTACTGGGTTATCGACGCCACCGAGACGGACGAGCGAGGGAGAGATGGTTTGCCGCATCACCCCACCTTGATAAAGCACAGGGTCGGTAGCTTTTGCTTGATGGCTTTCATGTGAACAGACCGGACCGCAAGTTCTTTGACCTGCATGCGAAAGTGGTTCTCGATCGTGAGGCCGCCCCAATATGGGGGGGCCATAACAAATGATCGTGTTGAGCTTATGGAGCAAATCGCAATCCTTATAGACGTGTCGGAGATCAGCGGGCTCGGATGACGGGAACAAGAGGCTGTGGTGGTCGCCCAGTACATGATGGACCTGTTTGCGTTGTGCGCTTCACATCTGCACCAAATACAGGCATGTCCATCATGTACTGTGCAGCGACCATCGTCGATCTCTCGACACTTCAGCGAGACCGCATCTCGGAATACATCCTTTCCCGAGGAGTTGAGGCCCGTGGCTTGGACGGGATGGTCATAGTATTTAACAGGAGGAAGAGTGGACAGAAGTGGAAAGACTGAAGCCTCGATTGCCTTCAAAATTAACGCGGTTCAATCCGAAACGACAAGGGAACACGAGACTTGGCTGGAGTCCAGACACTCCCGGCTGACATCCCGCCGCACCATCGGCTTTTGTTCCGTGCATGATCGTCTGAGAGACTCATGTGATATCGACTTGCTCCCAAAAAGCCAACTTTATTCGAGGTTCGATAAACAGGGCTGACCTACGGCCACTCTCGGAATAATGCAAACATAATGATAGTAATAGTGCTATTTCTCCGCCGACACCCGTCTCTAAGCCTAATGTACTGTTATGCTACCGCCTATCTCTGACCACCTTGGAGCATATATAATGGGGATTCTGCAAGGTTGTAGCGCCCGAGTAGTTAGCACCGGAACATAAGTTCTCCGAGGCAATCTGCAAGGTGCCGCAAAGGTCGTCTCCGGGGTGCGCATATTCCACTTACAAAAGCTGTGCGATTTTCAAACCATCTCCATGACGGTCACCTTCCCTTGCGAGTTGGCGGCGATGAGTCGTCCCGGTGCCGTTCGCTGCCATGACAGGGAGCTGATGAAGTGGTCTGAATCGTCTTGCCGAGCGCGTTTGCCCTAAATGGAAGAGAGCGGGTCAACGATTGATTGGTGTACCGCGTTGTGGCGTATACCAGCCTACCGTCAACCAATTCGGCATGCTCGCCATCCTCGTCACAATAAACGGCTTGGGCAGCTGCCACCAGTACACAACGACATCATTGGTCTCGGACCCACAGGCCAAAAACTCTCCATTGCAATCCAGACTCATGCCCACAAAGTTCTTCTCGTTAAGGTGCCCGCTGAAGGTCCGTACACATTGCGATTCGCCCGTTTGGAAGGATTCGGACAGCTTCCACATTCGCATGGTGCAGTCCGTGGAACAGGAGATAAGTGTGTCGTGGTCTTTGAAGCGGACGTAGGAGACGGCGCGGCGGTGGCCTCTGAAGATGTGTAATGGGTGGTGCAGGTTGCGGATGTCGTAATAGTGGATGTGATGATCTATGGATGCCAAAAAGGGGACTGATAAGCAAGGCGCGTGGGTGTCCCGAAAAGAGTTGGGCCTAACCTGCAGATCCAAATGCAACATGGTGAGGGACGGTGGGGTTCCAGCGGACCGAGCAGAGGTTTGCGACACTGGAGACGGTTGCCACAGCATCCTTTTGGTTGACCGTCCAGATTTTTCCTACCGGCTGACGTTAGTCGCCATATGCCACCGTGAGGACATGATCCGATATCTTACCTTTGGCATCGTCACTGGCACTCGCAAACCGGCTCTTTTCCGACGGACACCAATCCAGCGACCATATACGATTTTCGTGCTCTTCATGGGACTGCACCAGCTGCCCATTGGAGGAATCCCATAACCGTAATACGCCTTCATAGTCCGCTGATGCAAGGCGTGATTTTTCCTCCGGGTCCCATGCTAGGCAACTGCGGGACGTAATACCTGTTTGTTAGCGACAATCCCGTTTCGAAGGTCGAGCAGAAAGTCATCACTGTACCTGACTTTAGATGGACAATCGATCTCTATCACCGGGAACCTAGGTACCATATCCCCCTGGCTGTCTGCTTCCTCACTCTCAGATGCCATTTGACTCCGTTTCCGCTTTCTATTGGCACTCAACGGCGAAGAACTAGTCTTGGCGCTGGCAATCTCCTCGTCGGCAACCAAGGTTGAGTTCTTCACGTAGTCATGCAGTACGTTAGCAAAGTCAAAGATTTTGATTTTCTTGAGGACGCCGGCCGTGGCGAAGAACTCGTCATCTTTGTCGAAATCGATTGAGCAGATTATGGATGCTTTGCCGGTATAGAGTCCGTGGGCATAGTCAAGACTGGCGACGGGTTTCAAACGAGAGTATTTCGAGAGACGGGATAGAGTATCCGAGAAATCACTAATTGACCGGAAACTATCATCTGCAAAACCATCGGTTGTCAGAGAGAAGTCCGCACTAGAAAGGTGTTGAGAGACTGCACATACCGATAGACCGACTTTGGAGGTACACCTCTTGCAGATCTTCGAGGTGGTCCTGCACGAAGTCTGTACCACTGGCAGGTAGCTTTTGTTCTATGCCCTGCGAACTATCATTTTTCGACGTTACGGACGTCGCTTGTGAACCGTCTCCTAACGACTTTGACCGAAAGAGTCAGATGAAGTTCATAAATGCCATCCCTCTCATGCCTACATCCGAGAAGTCTACGTGGTCAGTGTCTGGAGCCGCTTTTGGAGCAACAACGCCTCCTCCGTGCTCTGCCAGGCTTGCCAGCCCTTCGTTGATCGTTGATAGCTGTGCCGTGATTTCCGCAAGGAGCTACACACATCTCGAATTAATGAAAGACGTTTGTAGACAGCTTTCAACCTGAGAGACGTATTCGCAAGCGTGGGGATTGAACATAAGGACAGACCTTACCTTCTCCTTCCTCGCCTTCAGGTCCAGCAGAAAGCTGTTGGTGAGAGCCAGCTGTTTTTGTTGCTCGCAGGAGGGCACGTCCGCGCCTCCGGACGCTTGCTCTTGGTTGGCGGACGGGAACATCGAGGCCTATATACGTCCTTGTACTGCCAACGTCTGGGTTTTCGTGCTTCCCTTTCAATCCTGCCCGTGGGAGAATTTCTAGGAAGTGCTCCGCACGATGTCCGTCTAGGTTTTCGTGCTTCCCTTTCAATCCTGCCCGTGGGAGAATTTCTAGGAAGTGCTCCGCACGATGTCGGTCGAAACGTTCCAGAGCGTTTTCTCACGCGTCGTGGAAATGATTGAACCGCGACGCTGCGATTCTTGCTGCGTTTGATTAGCGATGCTAAACACCAGTGCGCTTTTGCGGGCCCGTTTTCCCTTAGTCTGAGACGTCCGCCATCAAGTAGGTGACGAAGGTATCAATCAACTCACGCGCAACCTCAAAACAACACCGTTCTGGCTTGCCAATTGTGACCTCTCCTAACATCGAACCGACAGACCACTTAGCGGAAAGGTAGCCTGCAGCTGTCCCTTCAAGCCCAACAAGTCCCGGGCCGCATCTCAGATCATTCCACCAAGGTAAGGACGGAGCGTCGTTTGTTTGAAGTAGAAGTGCTCAAGATCAACTTCCTTAATCCTCGCGAAATCTCAGTCGTTCCTACGATGCCTATCAATAACGTCCAGCTGCCGAAGGGCGGCTTCAACTTTGACAACTACCAGAGGTGGGTGGCTGGCTAGTGGGAGAAAAAGCACGGGAGGCAGCTCAGACTAAGAGCGTTTGCCATCCGCCCATTAGGAACCATGTGCTTCAGGAGAAGGGAATGAAGGCCCCTGGTTTGACAAAGACGGGAACGACGATTTGTGGGTGTATCTGGAAGGTGAGGGATCTTGAACTCATTGCGTCTCACAGATAGCGGAGTTCTGTTCTGAAAATAAACCCTCATGGGCATACAGGGCGGCCTCGTCCTCGGAGCCGACACGCGTGCAACAGAAGGTCCCATCGTCGCCGACAAAAACTGCGAAAAGATCCACTACCTCGCCCCGAACATGTACTGCTGCGGTGCCGGCACAGCCGCCGACTGCGACGCCACCACCGGCCTCATCTCCTCCAAACTCGAACTCCACCGCCTGCAAACGGGCCGCCAATCGCGCGTCGTCACGGCTATGACTATGCTGAAGCAGATGCTGTACAGGTACCAGGGGCACATTGGGTGTGCGCTGGTATTGGGGGGGTTTGATATCAATGGGCCGCAGCTGTATACGATTGCGCCGCATGGAAGTACCGATAAGCTCCCGTTTGTGACGATGGGGTCTGGATCGCTTGCTGCCATGGCGATATTCGAGTCGCGATGGAAGAAGGATATGGAGGTACGATTCATCTCCGTTGGATCGGCTTGCGGAATGGCCAACTGATTGATGGAATCTGTTCATAGCTCGAGGAGGCAATGGAACTGGTAAAAGACGCCATCAGCGCCGGTGTCTTCAACGACCTCGGTTCCGGAAGCAACGTAGACCTCTGCGTCATCACCAAGGACGGCGTAGACTACAGGCGAGGCTACAGCCAGCCCAACGAAAGAGTCAAGAAGGAGAGGAGTTACAAGTTTGCGCCTGGCACAACGAGTAGGTTTTTTTTCTTGCGCGAATTAGGTCCACTTGGATATGATTTCTGACATTTAGAATTTTCATCTGCAGCTGTGCTCACGAGCGACTTCCGCAAATACGTCGATGTGCTGGATGGCGATGCTATGGATATCAGCTAGAAAGCTTTGTCGCGGGTGTAAATGGAGAAATACTTTGTTCACATGTAATACAATGCATACTGGATGACATCTAACTTCCTTTCGCCCAATCGTGCATTCCCTCTGATGGACATGCGTACGAAGTAACTGAGCCTTCCTTCAACTGCGGACCTGACAACGGAAAAGAGAGGAGGAAAGGAAGACACTGGGCATTGCTGGATACGCTCTGCAAGAAACGGTGGGATAAACGGACGCAAGCTGGCGAAAAAGTCCGGAACATGGGATCGTTCGTCGTCCCTTGTGGTCCATCGATTACTACCCCACAATGCAAGCAGATCCATCGTCCATGAGGCTCTTTCACATACCGACTTGACGTAGACGACGGCGCTTTTTGGCAGCGTTTGGGCAGACACCGACGTCGAAAAAGACACCCAGGGAATGGTGGTGTAGAGCGAAGGAAGGATTCCCAACAGTGCAACGATGGTGCGGCTATGCGGTTGTAGAAGCATGCCGTATCGGTACACACCAACGCGCGCACGAGAAACATCTTGACGCGAAGGCCCTGTGCAAATCACACCTTCCCGCAGAGGCGTCCCCAACTTCGCATTATGAATTCCAGAACGCACATGGGCTGTGGCATGCATGCAGGTGGTGGTGCACATCATCCCGGTGGTACTAGTAGTACAGTAAATACTATTCCACCAGATGTGACCAGGGGTTGTGCTACTTCTAAAACATTCCCCTGTTCCGAAGACCCCCCTGGGGTCACCACCGTCGTCCTATCGATGCTGGCACGCTGCTTGGCTTCGTCTGCCTGCAGATTCAGAGTCTTTGGTATAGCAGTCACAGGGGCCCGCCGCTAGATCGTCGACCACGAGTGTTACGTAGGTTTCGTCAGTCGTAGTTTACTGCTCCACTCGAGGTGAATCGTTAGCGCAGAACGAGAAGCTTCCGTGAGAAAGACGGTAACTGCCAAAATTCCACCCGCCCACACCGACACCGGTCATCACAGCTCTATCCGCTACCAGGTCACAGCGGTGCAAGGTCACGGGTTGATCTTGGAAGCGGGCAAGTCGACTACGGTCGCAGGGCGCTAGCCTACTTCTCTGAGACCTCACACCGAGCCAACAGTCATGTCAGGACCCTTGAATCGGGCTGGCCGCCCTCCGGAACCGCCTGCCCCAGAGACCACAAGACGATCCCTCTACGAATATGGAGACCGAGCGGACTACGACGATCTGAATGCAATGCGGGCGCATTATCGGGAGCGCTTCCTGCACAACCTGTCATCCCTCCCCGATCTTCGACGACGGCCTGCATTTGTGGATCAATGCAGACAAGCTTTGCGGGACCTAGCCGCCGGTCGGCCTTTGGCGAAACGACGCAGGGGAACTGGTGAAGGTGGAGACATGGAGGAATTCTACCTCCCGCGACGATCGTCCAGTCTCGTAAGCATGAGGACCGCGCGAACCCAGCCGGAGATGATTCATTACGGCAACGCTCCGCCCATATTCCTTCAATCGGGGCCCGAGTTCTCTCCACAGCGGTCAACGTCCCCGCGGCCCTCTGTGTCCTCCCAGAACATGGTCCCGAAAAGGTCAGCGAGCTTGGCAGCTAGGAGTTTTCGAAGTTTCAGTGCAGGCACATCTATCGATTCCCCACGGCGCCGACCGACTTTGAAGAGTCTGATGGGCGGTGGCGGTGATGGGGACGTCTCGGTTACCGCGTCAGACAGAAAGGTGGAAGTGGTCCAACCTCCGCGAGGTTTGGAAGCGATACCAGCTGCTGGCGCGATCGGATCCGTCGAAGCTCATGGGACCTTGGAAGACCAACTGCGGGATCTGGCAGCGCAACAGCAGCATATGTTTCAGCTGCAACAGGAGCAAAGCAGGCGGAGTTCGGTGTCGTCCAAGCATTCGGTGCATTTGCAGCAACCAGTCGCGAACATTGTGTTGCTGAAGACGCTCGTCCCACCTACGACGTATCCGTCGGGACAAATGCTCCTGACGAATTCCTTGGATCTTCATAGTCTAGACACATCGCTGGATAATGATTCCCGGGTGTTCAATACCATCGATGAGCCGATTGTCCCTACTGCGGTCCGGTTGCCTAGCATGCTGGCGTCTAGCCGCCGTCCTTCGGAGCCTCGAAGTGTTGTCGAATATCCCGCTCTCCGTTGGGTTCCTGATCAAGTACCGAACCAGGGAATTTCTCTCACAGAGAGGAGCAAAACCGTTGGCGCAGTTCCCAACCCTCAACGACCGTATGACGCCGCAATCATTGTCAAGTCATCAAAGAAGAAAGCTCCACCAGTGACCAAAGCCTTCCAGAAACTCCGCCGTAGCATCTCAACCCTCGCTCTCCGTCTCAAATCAAAGCCCTCTTTCTCCGACGACGGCCACATGCCACCGCCCGTCCCACGAGTCCCAATTGCCCACCCCGGTCCCCGGTCCCGCAGCAAAATCTACGAATCCCGCACATCTGTCGTCATCAAAGACGTCTCACCCGAAACAGTCGCAGAAGCACTCGCGCCCGGGTCCTCGTACGCCCAAGTCCTCGCAAGCCTGAAAGACTCGCAGCTCGCCCTCGCCGAATCCTCCAGCGGGGCCAGCTCATCACCCAGATCGGGCTCGACGATCTATATCCGCAGCGAGGATAGCGACCCGTACGCGCGAGAAGACGAACGAAACGGGGACGGCCACACAATGTTAGGCGCCGCGCATCAGCACGAAGACGAAGAACGGGACCTGATCCGTGAACTGGACTCCCTGAGCATGCGCACGGCGATCAGAGTGGACAACATCCCCCTCCGCAAATCCTTCTCGGAACCGCATCTCCGCACCTACGACGACGACGATCTGGATGACGAGACAGAGACGGAAACAGCGCGCGACGACACGGACACCACCGAATCTGAAGACGAGGACCGCGACGATGTGGACGCTGACGTCTGGGCCGCGCAAACAGGCGTCTCCCGGCCCGCGCTGTACGCCAATTACCATCTCGCGCGGTCCCACCACCAGGTTGGGAACCGGTACTGTATTTACAATCCTGTAGAAGCCGACTGGCGGGCTGAGCACTCGAGCAATGTCGTCACATCAGCAGCGGCGGCACCGGCAAGTACTTTGACCTCGTCGTCGCGGCGAAGCTCGGTCTCGTCTACGGCGTCGAGGAAGTTCAAGACGCTGTGGAAACGCGTGCATGGGTTTGTGCCTGCGCCCGGGAGCCTGCCTGCACAGTTGCATTACGGACACGGACACGGACACGACGCGAGATATGGCGAGGGGAGGAGGAGGGATGAAGGGGTTCGATGAACTGGGGATGGAATTCGAGACCGGAAGCCATGTTATCTCCGAGCAAGCTTGACCCCTCTCACCCGGCTAGGGAGGTCGCAAAACAGAAACGAGAGCCTCATATGCGACCCCCTGGCCACCCCCCGTCGGCAGACCGCCTCGCCCTTTCACATAACCATCCCAAACCCCAAGACTGAACTGCGACACACTCCATACAACACGCGAAACACACGCTGCCACACCTGCACCCCAATCAATTCGACATCCCCTTCCCCCCAAGCAGAATCCTTTCTCTGGCGTATGGACACTCCTTTCAAGTCCAAAACGGACTCTTGTTGCCGTAATTTTCACCGGATTCACTCCCCCTCTCTTTCTTATTTTTGATTACCTCTTTTTTTTCCTTGGTCATTCACACCCTGTACATGATTTTACGTTTTACCCCCCCTCTTATACCTTTGCGATACCTTCACATCCTGTACAATCTTATACACACACCCTGGTTTGTTAGTTTTATTTTGCTTCCCCCTAGTTGCTTCTGGTTAGACCTTTTCGTCGAGCGCGGTGATGCCGCCTTTTGTTTTTTGTGTTTAGAAAATAATGTTTATTTTGTGGTCTTGTTTTTTTCTTTGATAATGAGGCTATTTTGCGAGATATGGATGAAGTTGGGAAAGTGTGCAGAAACCTGAATGTTATTTGTGAGGATGTTATGCGAGCGAGACGAGATAATGTGAAATTGTTTGATCCAAAAAAGCTGAGAAAATGTTATAAAAAAAAGCCCAAAACAAAACCCCCCAAAAAAAAGGTAAGGGAGGTGATGGACGAGACGAGCAACTACGAAGTTAAGGCCGAGACAGGAGGTAATTGTTGACACAGTAGGGCTCCTCTGTACGCTAAGCCCACACATTCACGCCCTGCGTCGGGACCGTCGGCGGCGGCGGGGGAGGCAACGCTCCGACGTCCGTTGCCGTCTGCATCGGCGAGTTTGCGGGTATCACCCAACTCCCATCATCGTCTCCCACCGCGTCTGTGTCGATCTCTGAATGCCCTTGATGGGTGGCGTGGTGGGACGCGGCGAGGTATTCGGACGGGGATGGGTACGCGTTGACGAAGGCGTCGTCGTGGGATGGGAGGGGGTAGATGTATTGTTGTTGATGGTGTTGAGTGTGGTGCGGGTGTTGTGGGTGATGTTGGTGATATACGTGGCGTCGATGGTGCTGCTGTTGCTGCTGCTGCTGGTGGAAATGCTGCTGATGATGATGCTGATGATGCTCGAAATGAACAGGTGCTTCTTGCTGCTGCTGCTGCTGCCCATGCGATGGGAGATCGTATTGGGGGTACATATGCTGGTGATGACGATACTGTTGGTGTGGCAGTACGGGGTTGGTGGCGGTGGTATCGTGCATGGCGGGGTCTGTGGTGTCTGCTGGCACGGCGATGTAGTCATCTTCTACGGGGGCCGTACTAGGACCCGAGAACGAGGAAGCCCTGCACGAACTACTGGACGGCCACATCCGCGCGTGGGGCATACACGGCGTACCTCTCGCGGACGGGGAGAGGGTACGGTTATGCGAGATGTGTTGCATGCGGGGTGTCGCTGTGTAATGGCGCAGGTGTGGGGGTGAGAAGGTGGTGGAGTCAGAGTGGGAGGGGTCCCTGAACTGTGGGGCGGGGCGGGAGGATGGGCCGGGGCCAGTTGTTGCGCTGACGTGGACGTGTTTTTGTACTGGTGTATCGTCATTAGCATCGTTTTCGTCTTGCTCCGTGTCCGAAGGAAGATTGGGATTGGTGATATACCCCTGCGTTATGAGGTAGGCCAGGTTTGCTTTCGCCTTCAACTCCGTGCGTGCGGCGAGTGTCAAGCCCGCCACGCCGCCCGTCACGGACACGATCCGCACATCCCGCACGGTTCCAATCATCGCCCTTGTGGCGCGCCTCTGGGTCTGGCCCAGCAGCTCGTTCTCATACTTCCACAGGAGGGTGCCCAGGTCGATGTTGGGTGGGACCGTGGACGCCCACGCGCGTAATGCGTCCCGCGATGAGCGCTCGGGTGTGAAGATCCCTTCCGGAGGTTCTTGGTAGTCGCATACTCTCGATATGAGCTTGTCGAGAGGGAAGGTGGCGGGACCTGGGAGAGGGAGGGTAGGCTCTGACGAGATCGAGAGGGCTGGCGGGTGGATAGGCGGCGGGATGACGGTGACGCTCACCAGTGGAGGCGCTACGGCTGGTTTGAGGTGCGGATTTGCGGATTGGCGCTTTCTGAGATTACTCGTGGGCGTCAGCTGCTGCGTCTGATAGGATCGAGACTCGGGAGTCTTCTGCGTCTCCTCCCTATGGCGGTCGTGAATATGGGGATATATGGGCGAGACATCAGCAGCGACGGCAAAGAAAGTTTCTTCTTCCAAGGCGATATTCGCCGCTGGTGTCAAGCACACCTCCTTATCATCCAACAGCCTCCGTGACTTTGCAGGTGGTCGTGGAGGTTGGTACGTATCTGCGACAGACTCTTCCTCATCGTTCTCGGCGATATCAATCGATAAACGCCTGGGTGGGCCTGGTAGGTGCCCTGAAAAGGACCGCGTGCGGATGGGAGACCGATGCCGGGTGGATGACACCGACTTCCGACGCTCGCATACTGCCGGATGCATTGGTTTTTCCGATGGGTCCCTCTTTGCTGCTAGCTTGGCCGCTCTCGGCCGCTCAACGCGAACGTTTTCCATTTTGATGCCTTTCATCCTTTGACCGTAGTGTGCAGATGTCCGCCGAATGGAGACTTTCCACAAGGATAACGAGAACTATTGCTGCCGCGGCTGAACAGTGTTCACCGATAGCTATCGAATGCTGCGAGTGGCGAAGATATGTAGACAAACTTCCCACGACAGGTTTTAATCCGAAAGAAATGAATTCTCCGTAAACTCCCATAGGAAAACTTGAGGGTGAGCGTGGGGAGTAAAAGTCGGGGAGCAAGGTCCACGAGAGCGGTGTTTACGGCGGCGTAACCGGGGCAGTAGCGTCAGCGCCTCCCTCATGCCTATATTCGACCTGCATATTGTTGTTAGTCCAAACTCAGCTGCCGCCAAACGGAAACAAGCTTATCCCAGAGAAGATTGGTTTCGTTCGACTCGAGGAAAGGGCCCAAAGGAAGGCGGTCAACAGCGAGATAAAAGCCGTAAATACCGGCTCTATGAAGCGCAATGATAGTAGGTCGCTGCTAATAGGGCTGTGCAGGAACCGCAGCGGATCGATCGGCGGGGGGCGGCGGGTGCTTTTAGCGGACGGGACGCTTGCCTCCAGAGTGGGCGACCCCCAAAAGACAAACGACGCGTGAATAATCGGCGGAAAACTCCCCAACGGACAGCGCCAACGACAAGGAAAACGACGTGCTCCCGACAAGCAAGCAACACACACCGTACGTACTAGTAGCAATGCTCCGAAGAGAAAGCATGATGCAGCAGCCGCGACTACAAGAGCCGTACGTGTCATGTTTATTATTAGCAACCCATTAGCTGCCACCCACCTCAACCGATTTGGATTCGGGACCTTTCAGGCGAACACGGAGAGCTTCTGCCGTGCCGCAAAGTGCCGTATCTGCACCATATTATCCACCAGAACAGGAAGAAGCCCAAGGCATAACACTACATCTTGGGGATACAGACCTTGTCTATGAGAACCTTACCTGGATCGCAGGTGAGTCATCCGCAAGAAGGCCGATTATGTTCATCTGCTGACAGATCATCCCAAATAGAATCGGTCTCGAGCGATGTCAAAGCACATTCCTCACAAATGAAAAAAATGGTGGAAAAGCAGCGGCTGCTTGAAGCAGAAAACCAAGTGTTGAAGTTGAAAGTCGGAGTGCTGCAGGACTAGCCTTGTGTGACAACGATTCATGTCTGACATTGATATCTATTCGATTTCCTAGCTTGCCGGAACGAAACTGGACATGATCCAGCTTCAGTCAGAGAAGGCATGAGATGCTTGGAATGAAAGTGTACAGTGTACAGCTGGAGGACTGCACTCAGAACTCTACATTGAGCTCCTTGTGAATACATTGCGCTGAAGAACAAGTGTCAGGATTCAATTCCCAACAATGATACAATATCGTGGAGAGAAGTACTCCAGGCCTGGGACGTACATCATATGATCTTCTCTTCCACTTCCGTAGGAAGGATGGAATGCAGTTTTTGCACCCTGCAACAGAGAGGCCTTTGTGTGGGACGCATTGATCCGCGCTCATGGCTGGACATATTAAAGTATACCAATCCAAGAAAGCCAACGTGAGCTCCTTTCGCTTCGAAAACTGCTCAGCGACGCCCTCCAGTTGCTCGTTTTGGAAGACGCTTTGAGCGGGTACCGTGCACATTTGGCATTTGAGGACATTAAAGTTTTCTTCCCGAATGGCCGAAATGCACTCTTGGCAGTAGGTTGGACACGGACGCGGGGACATACGCCGGCTTCGGAACTATTCGCGGGAAGTGATCTGGCTACATGTACATGTACATTCCAGTATCTACAATGGGGAATCATCAAAGGCCATAAGGCCCTATCCTTGAACTCCGCTGATGAACCTCATCCAACTTGAACGTCGGTGGGGCTCAACGGTGATATCAGATTTTTATGCTTTCGTCAGCGGATTCGGAGCTCGGTTTGGCGTTCGCTACCGTCTCCTCGGCGGACGATGTGCTCCCCGCTTTGTCAAGCTCGTTGTGCACACTCGTCCCGCTCGGCAGCCGAAGGGGGGCGTGACCAAGTCGGGCGAGTTGCAGTTTGTCCTCTACGCCCGCGTCCTCCTTCCTGCGTACAGAGGAATCGGAAGTGTCGGCGGACTCTACGTTCATTTCCTCCCTTCATCTCATCAAAGCTTGCCAACCCTGTCAATTTCACTCTTTCCAAGTTCCGGCGTCTCCACGCTCTGCTCCGACAAATCCTGCGCCTGTGTCCAATCAGTGTGGCTCGAGGGTGCAATCGCGGCTTCCAACTGCTTTCCGCCTGATGACTGGGACGCGAATTGAGCGAGGAAGGATGTGCTGCTGATGGGGTCTGGGAACTCCGCGACTGGGAGGTCGGTGCGCTGCTTGGTGGGGTTGTTTGAAAGGGTGTCGTCTTGCGGTACTGCCTCGGACGGTGTTTCCTGCGTTTCCGCGTCTTGCGACCGCTGGATCGTGTCTTGCGGACGCGGCTGTGTTGAGGTGGACTCAGACCCTAATCCGTTATCCACAGGTCCGTCCGTATTCACGTCAGATGATGCCGCGCTCGTGGCGGTCTCATCATGCTTAATCTCATGAGACTGGGCTACACTCGCTGTTGCAGACACGTCTGCCGGGCGAGTTGCAGTTTCATCATGCAAACTGTCGAGAGGCCAGACACTCGAAATTCCAGTGATGTCCGTCGACGGCGATGGGGACGACGCGCCAAGTCCCTTCCCCTTCTCCGCCCTTCTTGCCCGTGCGCTCTTTCTTTGGCCGAGCCGCATCACATAGTCATTGGGGTCCACCCGCGGCCCTTTCGGCTTCGGCGCGTCATGGCGTCCATCTTCGGTGTTTCCAGCGGCATGCGTAGGCTCCTTCGTGGCTGGTACCGCATCACTGACCCCTGCTACACCCATATCGTCAGAGCGCTCCAAATCGGGCGGAGTATACCCCGGCTCCATAGCCCTGGCAAACTCCTTCACGAAATCGTCATGCGGACCATACTTTCGTCGCAGAAAGGTGTAGGTACCTGCAACCTGTCCTTTGTCCATCTTCGCAATCCTGCTTTTTCGGAGCACATCTAAGGCATCTCGGTGGCTACCCGCAGCCTTGTGCAAGGTCATCAGACCCAGCTGGACGTCGGGGTGAAGAGCCTTGCCCTCCGCCAGCGTCAGCTGGTAGAACCGTCGCACATTCGCCAGATCGTTCGCGTGCATGTAAGCCGTCAGAACGGCGCTGTATTCTTGCTCTTCGGCCACGGGCAAGCCGCTGTTGACGTACCAGCGCAGGACGGCTTCGGCGGCCTGGCCGTTGTGGGAATCTTTGAACCGTTTGATCAGCATGGTGAAAGTACTCCTATGAACCGGGAGATGAGCTTTTTGGAAAAGCGTCCGCAGCTCCGTGGTTGTGAGGAGAAAGTCGCGTTTTTGCATGATTTCGGCTTCGAGGCGTTTCAGTTCACTTATCTCTGACATTGTGGCTACGATTTTGGGTACTCTCTGGGGGCCCGGGTTTGTGGTATCCTTCCTAGGTGCGACAGGCTGTCTGCCACTTGGAGAGCGAGTATCTGGCTCGCCGGGTACGGAAGCATCAGCTAACCGGTGTGCATGTGTGACATGAGAAGGAACAGCTGCTGCTGGAGGTTGTCCGGCGGAAGAGGAGCGATCATCTGCCTGGGCGGGTACGGAAGCATCAGCGGAAGCGTCTGGACGTGCATGTCCGACGTCAACAGCGCCTGCTAGACGTTCCCCTCCAAGCGAGGTGCGATTTGCCCTCTGGCTGAGCACCTCGGTCGTTTTCCGCACTTCTCCTTCCCAGTACTCTGCCTTTTCAGTCAAACCGGCGCTTTTATAGATGTGTAGCACAAAGTCCGTTATCTTCGGGCCGGGCTGTTTCTGCATAACCTCGCGATATAGGCCGATCCATCTTTCCATTCCTTCGATTCCGTCCCGGAGAGCAAAGAATCTTATGATGTGATAGTAAGCGGTCTCCAGAGGAAACGCGCCTTCCCGCAGTTCTTCCAGAGCTCGCAACATTTCCTCCTCATTTTGGTTATCAACACACGCCCGGAAATATCCATCGGTGGCCTGCTCAATGTCCGCGAAGGATCGCGTCTGTCGAATCTCTCTGAACATATCCGCTGCTTTCTCAAAATCCCCGTTTTTCGCATGGCATCGCATATAATTTATCCGTACAGTCATTTCCGGGAAAGTGATTCCACTGTTGCTTGCGTAAGTGTAGACTTTTTCCAAGTGTTCCGCCATGCCGTATGTCGCAAAAATCTTCGCAAACTTGTTCCACAGCCGTAAGTTTGGGTTGAACCGTGCTTTGCAGTAGCAGTTCCACACCGCCGTCATGCTCTCCTTTCGTTCAGCGAGCGACAATTGTTTGAAACCGAGATCCTGCCTGATTCTGTTCAACAGCCATTCGAACTCGGGAACTGCAAGTAACTTGTATTCTTTACCAGGAATCAATGCTTGGAAGCTGGACCAGAGATCGGTACTATGATGACGACGGAGCCGAGCGGTGTTCAATTCATATCGAAACCGATTCAAAAGGTTGAGGCTATTAGCTTTTGCGATCGATTCCTTGGGTGCTTCGCCTGTAGTACATTTGGCGGCTTCGTCCGCAACGGTTGCAGTGGCCTCAGACGACTGTGGGTACGTGAGCATGCCGGTATCGTCAGCCCACGTGTCCTTGCTGCCCCCAACCAGCTCTTGTCTCGACTCCCCGTTTTCGGTAGCATCGGAAGGCCCAACGCTGACCTGGTTCACTGCAGTTCCCGCGATATCAGCCGCGATTTCAGCTGATGACTCTGCGGCTTTGTCGTCGGGTAGAATTTCCCGACTGGGTAGCAAAGCTTCGTTCGAGGAGCTTCCAGTGATGTCGGCCGCGGAAGTGTCCGCGCCTTCCCGTGTGGCTTCCGCCGTCACATTGTCAAAGACGTTGTTGTCTGCCGAGCTCACGCTATGAGATGGTTTGCTAGACGAGCCTTCGTCTGACCTCATGACGGCCAAGGCTTCCTCACTTCCTTGCAAGCTTTCGTTAGAGTGGCTGGGACTAAGGTTCCCCGGCGAAATGTCCGCCCTTTCCGGTGGGTATGCGGCTGCAGTCACATTATGAGAGCCCTTCTTCTCCGCCGACGTCCCGCTATGGATATGCTTCGGCTCGCTCGGCGAGCCTTCATCCAACCTCCCACCAGCATCCTCCTGTCCAACAATCGGCCGGTTCCCGTCCGAAGCGTTCACCGCCCCTTCCTGTCCACGTCCCTCAACGGGAGCCACATCAGTTTTCGGGAGAGTAATTCCACGCCAGTAAGCCCGCGAGTCACCGGGAACGACCTGACGTTTTGCTGTCGTCGCCCCAGTCAGCCGCGCGCAGGAGATTCTTTGGTAGGGAGCGAGCCTTCGTGAGCTCGGTGATAGCGATGGCCGCCGGAAAACAGCTCGCCGGCAAAGCCCTGCACCTCGCATCTCCGACGGTTGTGCGGTGTTTCGAATGGTACGTGATCGCCTCCTCCCCTCACTCTCCTCATTATCCCCCTGGGAGAGTGCCGTGTAGTGCTATTGCTGTGGATCGTTGTCGCTTGTCCACAGCTGCCTGCTGGCAATGGCTTGTCCACTTTTCCGAGATTGTCGGGGTTCTCTGGGAGGAGAAACGCGGCGCCCGGTGAGACGAGGCTTTTCGCAGTCATCCTCCTCCATTGCGTTGGAACTCCCAAGGCGGCGGAAGAGCATATATATACATAGGAGACTCACAAAGGGCTGGAACAACCGTAGTTTTCAAACCAGGTAGAAGCAGCTCAAGTAATAGCGATAGATTAGTTGCTCGCTTTCACTATACGTTCCGGATTGACAACGACGATCTACGACCAATCCTGAACAACGACGGAACGACAATGGTAGGCAAGAAAGCTTCTCAAAGTGTGGTTTCAAAAGCGTCAAGTCAGCCAGTGAAGCTGTTCCCGCCCTACGCTCCGCCGAAAGACGCCGAGCACAACGACGAACTGCAGTTCACTCTGCACACCTATCTGAAAACCCAACTGTCAGCCCTCCTCCGCCTGCAGTTTCTCTCTTTTTGGAGCACTGTCCTGTACCCCATACATCCCTCGCATTCCGTCGCCACATTTTTGGATGCATATTTCCGTCATACGCCTTTGGACCCGGAGCTTGCTCAAAAGGTGTTCTTTCTGATATGTCGTCTCGGTCTAGCGCCGGCGGAGGCTGAATCTTTGATGGAGCGTGAGGCAGAAGACGACGATGAAGCTTCCGAAACACGGTCGTCGATACCGCCAGAAGCTTTGGAATGGGCATCGCACGATTGGGCAGACGCAGTTTACGATTTAGGCATACTCAGTTTGCCATCCTTACTCGACATCGCCCACGTCTTTGCGGACAGCAACCCATCCATCCTCCGACAGGTTTTTCAATGCATATGGAAAGCGCAGCCCAAGCTTTCACCCGATTTACGACATACCCTGAAGTTGATTGTGCGATCGGTGCACGATGTACAGAAAAAGTACGGGAAGCTAGGGAAGGGCAAAGGGAAAGGCAAGAGCAGTGAAGCAGACAGCTCGTCATCAGTGTCCTTCTCAGACGGCAATAACGCGGATCGGGTGAAAGTGGAAGCGGAGTTTCTGTACCGCGCCATGTCGGATCTCCGAGGAGCCGTGCAGTTCGGCGGGGAGGATGTCGCGTCCATACTGCTCGAAGGAAAGGAGATAGTCCGCGCGATGGCTGATATCTACCAAGTGGCAAACATCTGGATGGCGATCGAGGCGTTAGATGACGATTGGGATGCGTCACGCTCGACTGTGAACGACATACGAGAACCCGAAACCATCCTTCGGTCGCCCTGCAACGATCATCGCGCCCAAGCGCGCCGCGTCAAGGCCGCCGTGCTTCTCCTCATCGAAACGATCTTGCAGGTGTTCATTGGGTCTCCGCTGAAACTTGCTAGCGAAAAGGACGCCGACAGTGATAGTGATTCCACCCCCGCCATGGCGGACGTCATCGCCAAAGCCGAAGTCCTCTGCGACACCTGCATGGAACTCCTCGAAGCATCCCATTTCGAAGGACCCGTTCCGTTCTTGGAGTCGGCGCCGATTCTAGTAGACCTGGAGGTGGATTTCGGGCTCGGTGAATGGATCAAGCAGTTGCAGGATCGGTATCTGAAGGATGAAGGGGACGCCCGGCTGGATTATTTGATTGCGTCGCTGGAACAGTTGTTGATGTTTAGCGGGAATGCGGAGACCAAACGGGTGTTGGCGAACCAGCGCGCGCAGAGGAGGCAGCAGGAGGCGTTGTTGAGCGATCTTTCGGGGACGATGGATACAGTCAACGCGGATGCGGGGAGCTCTTCGACGATTGACGTATGTTGGAGATACCGGGGGTTCCGGCACTTACTCTCTTCACAGTAGGGGAAACGCTGACCTACGTTCATGAATCCGTAGATGGCGGCTATGAACGAAGAATACATCAAGCGCACATCGCTCATATCGCAAGTGCAGGATCTTTTCCCAGAACTAGGCGAAGGTTTCATAGAGGTAATGTCTCGTCTAACGCACCATCGAACAATGATAGCGATGAGGCCCTTACGCCATATGTGCATATAGGCATGTCTACTGGCCTTTGGGGATGACGCCGAGATCGTCATCATGAAAATTCTAGAGGGTGATCTTCCGGAATACGTGTCAAAGCTGGATCGCAACATGCAGAGGTATGGGCTCGTAAAAATATGGCTATCGCGCATCGGGACATTTGTAGCTAATCTTTTCCCGTCCCTCCTCAGAACGGCACCAGTGGCCCCACCACCCGCCACCGCATCACCCCCCAAAACCCTCCCCGCAGCCTCCATCGACGTCGACGTCGACTTCTTCGACTCAGCAGCCCCCTTACCTCCATCAGACGACCAACCCAGCCTCCTCTCCAACCGCCGCAACGTGTACGACGGGGACGAGTTTGACGTGTTCGCCCGCGGGAAAGTGGATATGGATAAAGTTCACTTTGGAAAAAAGAACGATCGGGGCAACGTGTTGGATGATAAATCGTTTGTGAACGATGCGAGGGAGAAGTTGCTTGCTGTGCAGTATGATGAGTATGATGATGAGTATGTATCGTTTCGTTGCCCTTCTTGGATCTGCCGCATAGTCTCTAACCTTCCATCATTCCGAATAGGTATGACGACACCTACGACGACAACGACATAAAGCTCGCAGGAACAATCGAAGCCCCCACCCCCGACGCACCCATCACCACCACCGCCGCACCCATCCACGTCCCCGACGACCCGATCGCGCCCCACGAACCGGCCCTCATGGCCGTGTACATGTCGACCCCGGACGTGTTTGACCGGGCGAACCGGAAGGGCGCGACGAGAGTGAGGTTGAGGGAGGAGACGGGGTTGAGTGATCAGCAGATTGAGGGGTGGGGGAGTATGTTGAGGCGGAATGTGAGTATGAAATTTCATCGTTGGAGTTCGAAATGCGGGCCGCGCGGGCGCGGATTTTACTTGGGGTGTTTCCACCCATCATCCCACCGCCATTTTCTCACCTTTCCCCCTTTGATTTCGAACGATCAGCCCCGAAAAGACAAACTCCTTGCAAAATACGAATGGCGCGGCAACCGTGCCCTGCCACAAAACGCAAACCACACCAACAACAACAACGACGACGACGATGACGACGAGGAAGCCTCCGATGCGGAATCGGACGACAACGACGGCGGTGGTACGCCGGGTACGGCATCCCCTCGTGGTGGTACTCGAGGCGGCCGCGGTGGAGGCCAGAGTCGTGGTGGGGGCGGTGGAGGGCGAGGTGGTCGTGGCGGAGGCGGGCGAGGTGGTAGTGCTGGAGGGAGTGGGAGTGAATCTCCAGGAGGCGGAGGCGAGAGAGGAGGACGTGGGAGAGGAGGAAGAGGAGGAGGAGAGAGGGGAGGACGCGGTGGAAGAGGAGGCAATGGCAAACCGTACCGGAATCGGGAGAATGTGCACAAGGCTAGGACGTGGACAAACCAGCAGGATTAGGTGGAGGAGAGAGCTGTTTGAACCCCGGGCTTTAACGGCGTTCGTGGATGTATGTAGTGTATCTATGTATACTGGGCCACCTCATGGGTGACACCGTGAGGTGACGGATAAGATGGGAAAGCATATCAGGCCTTTGTCGCAGTTCTGTCCCCCTCCTTCTCAGGCGAACTTCCCTCATGAGACCGCAATCTTCCACTTTCGATCATGTTTGGCAGAGCAGGCGTAGGCTCCTGAACGCGTATTATAAGGAGTGTTCGAACGTTGCAACCCCTCGAAGAACAACGGGCCCAGGCGACGACTCCCACACAGCAACGCACAACCCCCATCCCCCTTCCCCCCCCCCCCCCCCCCCCCCCCCCCAGCTCCTGCAGCAGCAGCAATGGCCGCCCTCTACGACCCGGACGGGATGGACATGGACCTCACCGACCAACAACCACCACACGCACCCGCATACCCCAACACCGCAACAGCATCGCCCAGCACGCTGCAGGATGGGTACCAGGAACAGGCACAAGCGGCTTACTTCCACCACCAATACGCACAGTATCAGGCGCAAGGCTTTGGAGCGTATGGCCATGTGCAGGGTCAGCCACCTCACACGCCGCTCAACCACAGCCACCACGGACCCTTGTCAGCACCTCCGTCACATCGCGTGACTCCAGCTGCAGCTATCCCACCTCCGCCATCACCAGCGACCCCAGCACCACCAACCCCAGTCACCTCCGACACTATACTCTCCTCCATCCCCCCATCCTCCACCCTCGCCATCCTCATCCTCGACACAAACTACCTGATCTCCCACCTCCCCTTCCTCCAACGTCTCCTCCCAGCCCTCGCCCACGACCCCAACTTCCTCATCGTGATCCCTTACGTCGTCGTCACAGAGCTTGACGGACTAAAAGAGTCGTGGAAAAAGAGCCAGGCAAAGATTGCGGAGACGGCGAGGGAACGCGGCAGGGAGTTTGATGTGGGTGGGAAAAGTGAGAGGCCCGATGTGGCCAGACGGGCGATTGATTTTTTGTTTAGGGGGATGGCAAGGGGTGTGAGGGGGTTGGTTGGGCAGACGAGGAAGGATGTGTTGGGGGATGTGGGGGAGGAGAGAGGAAATGGGGATGATCAGATTTTGGAGTGTTGTAGGTATGTTTCGAGGACAATATTCTCACCCAGCATCTTTGTCTTTGTTGCGAGCGACGCGAGTAGGGCATTGGTCCCATACTTGCCAATAATGCCTCATTCTCATACCCACCTCTTCCGCTCACTAGATACGTGCAAAACAGAATCACTCCACGCGTGATGCTAATGAGCAACGACAAGAATCTCTGTCTGAAAGCGTTAATCCACGGGATCCAAACGGTGACGAACTACAGCACGAGCACTCCAGGCGAGTTTCTCGATCAAGCGAGGTCACATCTTGGTTTACCCCCCGCACCACCCCTACCGGCATCAACATCGGAGTCGAACCACATCGCCGCACCACAGCAACAGCAGAGGCGGGCGAGCGTGTCGAAGGATACCACCGCGTCGAATGTATCGATCCACGCAAGGAAGACAACGACGTACAAGAACCCGGAGCTGCCCCCACCGCCACCGAGGGAGGCGCCATCCAATGCTGATAGTAAGAAGGAGAAGAAGAAGAAGAAGAAGAAGAAGAAGAGCCCTGAGTTGGGAGGCACATCAAGTGCAGGCGAGTCAATGGACATGGAAGTAGACGAGGATGCCAAAGCAGGCACCCCAACCCGCTCCAAGAAACGCAAAGCCAGCGAAGAAAGCCCCGAGCCCCCCTCAGAGCCATCCCGGAAGAAACAACCACCGTCCAAACCCCAACCCCAAAACCAAGACCCACCCCGCAAAAAAGCCCGCACAGATGAGCTCGACATCGACGCCCTCGGTCTCCGCATCCACGACCACCTCCTCACCACCCTCACCCCACCCTTCACAACCCTCCTCCGCCGGCACCTCCCCAAACCCTCCCTCGCACGCCAACCCCCATGGTCCCTCGACGACCTGTTCATCCTGATCGACAAGCACTGGTCCACAGTATTCGCGCGCTACCTCGGCAAAACGGTCAAGAGCGAGTTGGCGGTCGTCACCTGTGTCGCCAAGTGTCTTGCGCGCGCGAAAGTCAGGACGGCGGTGGGGACCGGCGCGACGAGGGGCGAGCTGGGCGTGCTGGTGAGGACCGCGAAGGGGCTGGCCGCGTTGGTCAGGGCTGCAGCGGGGGCCGAGGGGAAGGGGGTTGGGAAGAAGGAGGAGGCGGAGTGGAAGGAAGGATTGGACGGGTTTGAGAAGGCTTTGGCGTAGGAGCTGGAGTTGGTTTATCCCCCGAGGTGCCTGTGGGGTTTCATATATATAGGAGGGAGATCAGGGGGGGTTGCTTTGGTTACGAGCGGAAGGAATTTTGGAGAATGTATGCAAGAAGGGGGAACCAGAAAATGCGTATGTACCCGGGAACAGTACCTACCCTCAGAACATCAGCGATGGGGAGTCGGGGAACGTACCTTGGCGGAGGATCTAAGGACAGAACAGAGGGAAGCTGAAATAATGTTGGCGTTCCGCGAATAGCATTAGGACGGGGAGTTGGCTGGTTTTTCTTTTCTCGAACGATTGCTTAATGCCTGGTCCCTTTTTTCTCGCAGGGGCCGCTACCAAATATGCAAGTTATGCAAATATACAAACAAATGTCTACATACATCCCTTCATATACATTCATCCCCTACCTCCCCGACTCCCAGCTACGCCCACCCCACATCCCCAACTACTCTCCCCGCCCTCTCAACCTCCCTCTCCCTCTCCACCACCATCGCCTCACACTGCGCAATAAGGTTCACAGCCGGCGTGCCCCGCTTTGCCGTCTTCATCTCGTCCAGGACCGTGCGTGCGAAGCGGAGCTCCGTTTCCGGGTCGTGGTGTATCTGCGCCTGCGTTTGCGTTTGCATGCGAGTCGCTGCCGAGTCCCCATCCGATGCTGCGGGTGTCGTGTCGTCGGCCTGGGTAGAGTCATCCCCGCTCCCCTGACTCGTCTGCTCCATCTTCACAAACACCCCGCGACTCGCATCCACCGCCGCGCGCACCACCGCGGCATACACCTTCGGGCTGCGATGGCGCACCTCCATGCGCCGATACATCTCCTTGGCCGCGTCGTAATCGCGCAGCACGCCAAGCAGGTGGGTGAGGATCGCGGAGTCGAGCTTCATCGTCGAGGTGCCGTGGGCGGCGACACACGCAGCACGGTAGACGCGTGCTTTCGCCAGCGCGTCCGTCGGCGGGGGCGGTGCCGGTCGCGTGTCGGTGTACCCCCGCGGGCGGCTCTCCAACGCCGCCGCGACCAGATCCTCCAACACCCGCTTCGTCGGGGCCAACCCGCGCTGCAGCATCTCGGCATACACGCGTTCGGCCTCCGCGAGATCCCGCCGCCGGACAGACGTCAGATACGCAATCAGCGCCTCGTACGTGCCCGCCGTCAGCGTGTACCCCATCTCCTCGACCTTGCGTCGCACCTTCACCAGATTCGCGTACTGCAGGTCCGTGGACTTCGCCAGCGTCGCCAGGAGCGTGTTGCACGTCTCGGGTGGGATCCGCACGTCCCGGTATGCCGCAAGTCGGAACATCCGGTCCAACCCGTCCTGGTTGCCCGCGGCGCCGTAGACGAGGATCATGGCGTTGACGAGCCGCGGATCCGGGGCCGCGTCGGCGTGGGCGCCAATGTACTTGTAGTAGAGCGCGACGGCGGTGTGGGTGAGCATCTGGCGGGTGCGGGACGGGGTGGTGGCGAGGTGGGTGAGGATGGCATGATAGATCATGCCGGTGTCGATGTAGCTTTCGATGTTGGGGATGTTGACGATGTCGTTGAAGACGGTGATGGCCGCCTGGGTGCGGTCGGTGGCGATCAAAATGTGGAGGAGGGTGAGGTGGGTGTTGGCGAGGTGAGTTTGGCGTGGGACGTCGTCTTCCGGGACCGAGGACGCGGTGAGAGCGCGGAATTCTTTGTAAGCGGACATGAGGGCCTGCACGTCCTGGGGCCCGCGTAGAGCAGGCACCTGCTTTCGCTCGGCCCGGTCATAGATCGCCTCAAAGAGCTGCTCGTAGTCTTTCACCCCATAAGGGTTATATCCGAACAGCGCCTTCATGGACGCCATGGACTTGTAAATATCCAAGACGGTAATCACCTGTCCGCCGTGCTTCTCGCTCTCCAAATGCGCCAACAGCGTCCCTTTCGCCAAATGACCCTCGTACTCTGTCAACATCTGCAAGTCGCCCCTGTCCGCAGTGTCCGACTGCCTGAACAACTGTTTATACATCCCGAACAGGTAATCAAGGGATTTGAAATCCCGCTCGCGTGTGCAGAGATGCACCAGCTGGCCGTACACGTGCGGGGACGGCATCTGCCCGTCGGACCCGATGTAGCGGAGGAGGATCATTGCTTCCGTGCGATGGCCACGCTCGCAGAGATCGCCGATTTGCTTATCAAAGGAATGGAGGGTCGCCAGAGGGGCCCTGGGTCGAGTGTGCTCCGGTGTCCTTACCATAATCTTCTTTGGTTCTTCCGCCGGTCCGGAGCGCGGAGGAGGTCCGGCGGCTATACTCAGCCGCCACTTCGTCGCTTCCTCCGGCAACGATGGGGAGCATCTTGCCAGTCCTTTGCGGACAAGCTCGTCGATATGATTGGTCGGTTGCAGACCCGCGCGGTTCATATCGTCCAAATACACCAACACCCTTGCGGCAATCTCCGCGCTCGGCATGTGGCTGAAAAACAGCGCGTGGTAGATCGTCAAGAAATCCTCCGCCACCAGCTTCCTCGAAATCGGGCCCCTGCCCTCCCGGACCCTGTCGTAAGCGGCAATCAGCGCGCGGCCCGTCAAGTCAAACATATGCGGCGTGTAGCTTCTGAGTATCACCTCATGCGCCAAGAGGAGCAGGTCAAAGTCCGTGTCGTCAAACTGCACGATCTGACGGATGAGCACCGTCCAGTTCTTATCCCGGCGGTGCTTCAACTGGCTCAGATCCCTGCGTCGGCGCAGTTTTGTCAACAGGTTGCCAAGCATATCGAACACATCCCCTCTTCGATCGGCGTGCGTGAGGGCCTGGACAAGCGCGCGCGTGAAGTCCGGGTGCGGGATGGCGTTGCAGCCGTAGAGCTGGTGGTACACCGCGAGCGCGGCGTCCAGGTCGCCGTTCTTGATGGCCAGCTCACCGTACGACGAGAGAAGGCGGGAGTTGTGCGCCCAATGGAACGGGTATCTCATAAGCTTTTCCACCAACCGTTGGGAGAATGCGTAATAGTCGTTTTCCAATGCACACTCCAAGATGGCGGCGTACATGTTTCCGTCGGGTGGCGGCACCCCCGGCTTGTTTCTGTTCTCGAGCTTCCTGACAAAGATCTGTGCGGACTCGGCGTCGTTGTCCAGGATGAAGATCTTGATGAGGGCCGTGTAAGTTGGCCGGGAGATCTTCATCTCCAAAGTCGTTTCGATCAGCTCTTCCAAAAACACTCGGGCCTCTTTGACCTTCCCCCCGCGTACTAAAGCGTTTGCATATGCCACGAACACAGTCTCTTGCTTGGGAAGCGTTGTCTTTAGGAAATTGTGGTACCAGTTCTCTGCTTGAGACAGGTTCCCCGTCTCCCCGTACGCGTCGATGATCGCGCTATAAGCAGCGGGACCTGGTCGAACAGACGAGTGGCGAACAATGCTCATCCACTTCTCCAGCAAGGGCACGTCTCGCCGCCGCGCGATGGCTTTGAACATGAGGTCCAGGAACCGGTCGCAGTGGCTAGTAGGATACTCCTCCAACGCCGCCTTGACGGTTTCCTCCAACCTAAGAAGCCAGCGGACAGACTTGTACCTCTTCCCCTGCAATTCTTTCCTCATCACACGACGATTGAGGGCAAGACTCGGGTTCTGCTCATACGCCTTTCGCAGTATATCTAGCCCCCTCTGATGCTCCTCCCGCGCCCGCACGATCGCGGCGTCGGTGTCGGCGTACACGCCTGCCAGTCGCCATCGGTACTCGTGGTTGGCTTTGATCCCAAGGTCTGCTCTCGTGTCATCGATGATTGCTATTCGATCTTCGTCGACCCATGGGCCCACAAGCATCCGCTCCAAAAGTAGTTTGAAGTGCGTAGGGGTCCAAGTTTGCAGGGCCTTCGTTTCCTTCAACTTGAGAAAGGCGTCCAAGGCGACTTGTTTAGAGTCTGAAGAGCCGAAACATGCGTCGACGTCCTTGAAAGCCTGAGACATTGTTCCACTATGTTGTGCCTTCTTTTTGGGAACTGGTGAATCTCCGTTTCCACCATATTGCTTTGGAAGACGTGCGAAGGGAAAGTTCCTCGCCCGGCTAAAGTTGGAGGTGGAGGCCTCTTGAGGGGTATCTCGTATGCGACTCGGATCGCTCTCTAGCGTTTGGCGGGTACTCCCTCGTGCCTCCCACGTGTTTAAACTGAGCCCTACCTGGCACTCTGCATTCGAGTGCTCCATCTGTGTCCCCGATGCTTGGCTTACACCCGATTGTCGAACATCCAAACGGGCGTCGTCGTCTGCTTTCGAGTTCAAAGCCGTGATTTCCGGTTTACTATCGCCGGGTGATGAATTCGTACTTTCACTGACATTTGCTTTCTCCGAAAAACCCCCCGAAAAGACTTTGAATTGAGCTCCGGCTGTTTTCGCTCCAGATGAGATCATCGTCTGCTCGGCTTCCGCTGTTACACCCATTTCAGCTGATGTCGCATGCGACCCTCTGCTCTCTAATCCCCCTATCTCTGTTCGGGCGTCTCCTGCGGCTGCTGCTGTCGTCGTCGACTCGCCAGCCACTCCGTTCTCATTTGAGTACTGCCGATCTATTTCACCACCATTCTCTAACCCCTTCACTTCTGCTCCATTATCTATTACTGCTGCCGTCGCCGGCTCGCCGCCCACTTCCTTTTCCGCCGACGACTGCTGCCGATCTACCTCACCACCCTCCGGCAAGATGGCCGCCTTGCCCGACGCACCAGCACTCCCACTCGCATGCCGCCTAGGCGTCCCCGTCAAACAACACAGCCAGCATCTCCCTGTTGTGCTTCGAGACCGGCGGGCTGTTGTGAGTAGCCGTGCGTCTCTTCTGTTCGCTGCTAGTGCTAAAGAATGGCGGGTGGAAAACTGGTTGAAGTGAGAGAGGGGTTTCCGTGCGGGTGCGAAGACAGTTGCCGAACCCGGCAAGGGGCGTGTGGCGAGCTTCCGTAGCATATGGGATGTCGAGCCACGTCCCTGCCAGCTTTCCTGGTCGCTTTTCGCTTTGGGCTTTCGTATCGTCTCGAAGTTTGCCAAAACGCACCGGCGGAAAGAAGGGGGGGGGAACGCGGACGATGCTTGATGAGTCACCATGACTCACTGACATCATTCATGCTTCTGACAGGCGCGACACCTGCATGAGGCAACTCCGAACGAGACAAAAGAGACGCATAAAGACACCGTCGGAAATGTGCACGATAGAATCTTAATCCCCTTTACGCTCACGCAGCTCTGCCCGCCCTGTTCGGCTGGTAAACAATCCGAATATTCAACCACCCTGGTTCAGTGGCCCGGAAGGGACGCGGAATACGTACCGGTGGTGAATACTCCGCCTCGGGATGGCAAGAATGATTCGGTATTTCAATTCAATTCGAAGTGAAAAAGCACTAACTATCGCCCTGGCAAAGATGTGCTAGGAATCCCCGGATAGCTCCCAGTTCGTATACAAGGGTTCAAGGTCGGCTGTGAAAACTGAACCGATCCACTGTCAAACTCTCGCCGATATCCGCCATCCTGTCGCTGGAAAGGCGAACTCATCCGCCGACGACAAAGATGTTATCCCACCTCCGGCACACGTCGACTGAATGGGTCCTTCTCGCCCTTTTCACGCTAGCCGGTCTCATCCCGCACGTCTCCAGCGACGTTTCCAGCGACCCAAGCCCGCACGTCCCCAGCGACCCCATCCCGGACCCGCTCAAAATCCCGCTCAAAATCGGCCTAGTATGGGACTACACGCAATCTGAAGGGCCCCCTTATGCGGCCGTCTACTCCCTCCAAGCCGCCGTGCGCTACGTCAATTCCCGCGACGACATCCTCAACGGCACCTTTGTCTCCATCGTCAAGCAGGACACGACCGTCAACGACGAACCCAACCCTGCGCAGGCCATCAAAGCCGCCTACAACGTCTCCACCAGCGGGGTGATAGCCGTCATCGGGCCCGAAACGACGGACGAGGCGGTGTACGCCGCGCTGGTGACGTCCGGGTTCAAGATCCCGACCTGCTTCACGTTGGTGGGCGGGACGCAGTTCTCTGACCGGGCCACCTACGCCAACACCTTCCGCATGACGCGAACGGTGCGGGACGTCGGCATCTACCTGGTCCAGTACGTGATGGCCATGGGCTGGAACCGCGTCGCCTACCTGCATTCCGCGCAACTGTACGGGACCGCCTACATCCAACCCATCGTCAACGCCGCCGCGAACCAGAACGTCACGTTGCTGGCCCAATCCAGCTTCAACACCGGCGTCGCTGCCGACGACGACGCGGCGCTCGCTCTCGTCAGGCAGAGCGACGCCCGCATCATCATCGTCACAGGCACCGACATCGAGACCACGCTCCTGTGGACGAAAGCCCACCGCGCGGGCCTGGTCACCCCCGACCATGTGTGGGTCACCAGCAACGGGATCATCGACGCGGCGAGTGCCGACAGCCCCTACTTCAACATCTCGATCAGGAACGTGCTCGGCAAGGAGGAGGCGGCCAACAACGCCGTCGTGTCGGTCGTCATCACGGATATGGACCAGACCACCGATGCCTATAAGACGTATCTGGACAACTTCTGGCAGGTCTACACGAACACGACCGACACTGCGTTGGATGAGTGGTATTATTATTCCCAGGAGTACGTGTTAGACCCCGTCCCCAGATATCTCTCTCGATGCACCTTCTAACCCCCACCCCCCCTTTTTTTTCAGCATGATATGGGATTGCGCAATGTCAGTCTTCTACGGGTACGACGCCTATCTGAAGAACAACAACCTAAGCGCGACGCTGCTGTCCGATCCGGATTTCACGAAGGAGGAGATGAAGGGGTTCTCGGACATCTCGAACTTCAATACCAGCATACAGGGGCTGACGGGCCCGTATAATTTTGATAGCAATGGGGATATTATGTATGAGCATGGTGAGTGAAGATTTGGGACGAACGCAAATGAAATGGTACGAAATCCTTCGTGGTCGGACCTCCTCATACGTCTCCCTCTCCACCCCCCCAACCCTTCCCCCCCCCCCCCCCCTATCCCCTCCCTCTTCAGTCCAAATCCAACTCCAAAGCTCGGAGCTAAACTACCCCGTCGTCGCCGACTTCCTCCCCACGGGCCTCGTCCTCTACCCCGAAAACTTCCTCTTCTATGGCGGGTCCAAGACGGTCCCCCTCGACTTTCCCCCGCTTGTGCGGCTCAACCCGGTCTGGAAAACCGGCGAAGGGGCCGGGTTCGCCTTCCTCTCCGCGCTGCTGCTGTCCACCAACATCGCCTCGCTGATCGCGGTGGTGCATCTCCGCCATAAAGTGGCGATCAAGCGGGCGAGTTGGAAGAGTTTGGCAATGATCTTGGTGGGCTTGACGGTGGCGGATGTGGCGCCGCTGCTGTATATTGGCGAGCTGAGCACGGGCGTGTGTGTGTTGCAGCCGTTTGTGTTGAATGTGGCGTTTGGCCTGGTTTTCTCGAATTTGATGGCAAAGACGTTTCGCGTCTATAAGGTATCGTTGTGCGGGTGCGAGGGGGTGGGTTTTGACTGGGGGAGGGGAGACTTTTGACTCTTTTTTTGGGCAGATCTTCAATAATCCGAGGATGATGGAGAAACCTATGAAGGATATTCATTTGCTCTCCTACAGCGCCGGGTAAGGTTTCTCCACTCTCGCTATACTCGACCACGCAACCTACTCACACACACCCCCAGGCTAGTCGGCGTCGAACTCCTCATCTCGCTCATCTGGGTTCTCGCCAGCAAGCCCGTGCCCACCGACATCATGGTCAGCGCGACCGAATCGGTCCTGACCTGCGTGTCCCCCAACGCAAAAGTGCAGCGCGTGATGACCGCCATCAGCATCGCGTTCAACGGCCTCCTGCTTGCGCTCACGACGCTGCTGAGTTATAAGACTCGAGGCGTGGTGTCGGCGTTCAATGAGACAAAGTGGATTGGGCTGAGTGTTTATAATCTTGTGGCGGTTTGCTCGTTGTTTTTGCCGTTGGTGTATACGACGGTGGGTAGTTTCCAAAATGGCTTGTCATTTTATGTTGGACTTTGCTTCCCATACTATGTCGTGCTGATCTTATCTTTTCTGCTCAGACCTTTGCAACCATGGCCTTCACCCTCCGCAGCATCGGGATCCTCCTCGGCACCGGCGTAACGCAACTCTGCATCTTCGGCCCCAAATTCCTGCAACTCTACCAAGACTCGCAGACGCACGCCCACGCGCGCAAAGACACGTCCGCGCAGATCTCCTCGATGGCCTCCTCGCGCGCCAACCAATCCAAAATGTCCCTCGCGCAGCTCCCCAAAGGCCACCGGCCGAAAGAGGGCGCGAGTTCCAGCGGGCGGAAGGTGGGCGGGTTCCAGATCCCGCGGGTGCCGACGCTGATCATCGCTTCCGGCGGGTCGCTGTTCTCGTTCCGGAACTTCATCACGGGCAAGTGGGCCGTCACCAACGTGTCGGCGTGTCCCGGGTATCTGTTGCTGGAGGACGTGGATGTGGAGGCGGAGGCGGCGGGGAACGCCAAACCGGGCGTCGTGCGTGTGTTCCGCACCGACCGCGCGACGTTGAGGGATGAGGCGGGGACGGTGGAGTCCCGCGCGGCGTCGCAGGCGCACATGGAGAAGCGAGCGGAACCTGCGGCGCAGGCGAGCAATAGTGGACCATCGACGTTGACGATCGGGACGGTGGACGGCACGGTGCAGTTGGTGTTGCATGCGAAGGATGCGAAAGAATTGGCGGAGTTTCTGCATCAGAGTCATGGGAAGAAGAATCAGGGGGCGACGATGTCCGAGCTCAGGAGTGGGAATGCGAATCCGGTTAGGACTAGTCAGGTGGATGATGTGTAATGGAGCTTTGGGGAAGTGGACATGATGGCAGGTGGACGGTTTTTTGTGGTTCGTTTTTTGTTGCAGAGCGTGGAAAGAGTATCTGAAATGTGAAAGTTTCTGGGCGAGGGAGAGACCCGAAAACCAAGTCATTCATGGCTTCCGAGTTTTTCACATCAAACACGGGGAGGGGAGTATTGGGCGCCGCTGAACGTACTTGTCGACGTGGGGCTGGGGATAAAGGGTGAACTCGTAGCGGGAGAGAGAGTAAAAAGAGATGCCTTCCAAAGTCTACCTGACGGGCAGAGATCGTTTGGCAGTGTCGCTGTCGAATTCGGTTGTAACTCTGAAGCCGTTGTCAAAGATCATGTGATCTGTGGCTGCAAACACGTGCCTTTCTAGACAGTTTATCTCTATTCTTGATGCTCTTTCTGTTCTTTATGAGTCCACAATATCACTCTGGTGTGTCCAACGCGCTTTCCTTTACATGTATGTACAGGGGGATGGTGACTCTGTGACTACGCGGCCGCATCCACGGGCGAGAAGCGAAGCCTCGCTTGGCCGCATGCCGCTCCCAAAGGCTTCCAACCCAACAGAGTGCATCAAATTCACTGAGCTGCGGTGGGTGAGGCTCCGACAACGGCGGTGTGCGCTGCTTGCCACCTTGTTGTGAGCTTGGGAGGTAATACTGTAATAAACCAGCACCACCTCCGAAGCCTCTCGTATGCGCGCCAGGTGTCCAGTCCCAACGTCCCATCCCATATATATTGCCCAGGTGTATGAGCGGCGCTCTTTTCTACAAGTTCCCACCAGCAACAGCAACCACAGCACAGAAACGAGAAAGCGTCCATGTCGCCTGTTTTGCAAGAGAGAAGGGAGGGTACGGGTGCAACGGAGAACAGTGAGGGCTTGGGATCCAGAAAGAGAACACTCCATCGGCGACAGAATGGGCAGAATGCACCCAACGGGCAGAATGGACAGACAGGACAGGATATCCCCATTTCGTTCGATGGGTTCTTGCCGCCGTCGATGGGGAAGGTTTCTGCTGCTGCTTTCGTGAGTTTTTTTTTATGGGAGCGTATGGTGCGATATGTGGTGGACAATATGACACTGACCTTGTCGAAAAAAACAGACGGACGACGACGAAGGCAACAACATCACCACCGTCATCAACAGCGCCCGCCACAACCAAACGGAAATGCTCGCCCTAACCTCCGAAATGACGCCTCAAAATAAAGCCGACTCCCTCAACCTCGCCTTCGCCGTAATCGCCACCAACGTCAAGCTCGCCCCCGCCATCGACTTCCCCTCCATCCCCTGCGAGTACCTCCAGGCAAATTGGACCTGCACCCCGGGTTACTTCTGCCAATCTCCCGCCGATAACGGAAACGCTACGTCCCCGCCGAAAGCAGAGAATAAGTGCCCGCCGGGGTTCCTGTGCCCGCGCAACACCTACGAGCCCGTTTATTGCTGTAAAGGGTTCTACTGCCCAACCCCCGCCGAGGTGCACATCTGTCCCGAGGGACAGTGGTGTGGGCTGGGGTCCGTGCAGCCCGAGGACTGTAGTCTGCTGGCGTACTGCCCCGAGGGATCGTCGACGGTCAGGCGGTATGGGATCTTGGCCCTGCTGCTGGTCGTAGTCATCATTGTGTCGTTTTTCTTCTGTGTGAGGCGGAGGGTGGTTAAAAAACGCACGGGCAAGTATACCGCGAGGTTGAATGGACGCGCGGCCGCTGCTAAGCGCGGGCCGACCCGGAAGAAGGCCCAGCATGCGGCAGGGACCGGGAAAGAGAAGCTCTTGGGCGCAGATAGCCCGATTAGCAACAGCAATAGCGACGATACCCTCCTCCTCTCCGACGACGACGACACCGGCGTCGCCCTACCGTCCCGCCACGCCACAACCCTACACAAATCCTTCGACATCAAATTCGAAAACCTCTCCCTTACCCTCCCGACCGGCACCACCATCATGCGCAACGTCACCGGCCACCTGCGTCCCGGTCGCGTCTGCGCGGTAATGGGTCCCTCGGGCGCCGGCAAAACCACCTTCGTCTCCCTGCTCACCAACAAAGCCCCCCGCACGGCGGGCAAAGTCTTCATCAACGACGTCGAAGAAGATCTATCCCGCTACCAGAAACTGATCGGCTTCGTACCCCAGGAGGACGTCATGCTGAGGGAACTGACGGTGTTTGATATATTGATGCATTCGGCGTTGATGAGGCTGCCGAAGGAGTGGGATAAGGCGAGGAAGAAGGAGTTGGTGTTGGAGACGATCGCGTTTTTGGGGTTGGGGCAGGTTATGAATAGTGTGGTGGGGGATGAGGTTGAGAGGGGCATTAGTGGCGGGCAGGTATGGTTTGCTGTGATGCATCTCTACGGTTGATTGACTGATTGAAATGACTAAACCCGTTTTTCGCGGTTTGCAGCGGAAGAGGGTTAACATCGGGATGGAACTGGTAGCAGCCCCCAGGTGACTTTTTGTTCTATCCTTCCCCGATGGCGACGGGTCTGTCCTAACACTCAAATCCCCACCCAGCGTCCTCTTCCTCGACGAACCCACCTCGGGCCTCGACTCCGCCACGTCCCACGAAGTCAGCACCCTCCTCCACCGCATCGCCCGCACCCAAAACATGACCATCGCCGCCGTCATCCACTCCCCAACCCCGTTAGCCTTCACCCAGTTCGACGACCTCCTCCTCCTCGGCAAAGGCGGCCGCATCATCTACTTTGGTCCCCGCGACGCCGCCCCCGCGTATTTCCATAACCTCGGCTTCACCAAACGCAGCGCGATGGAGGGGGACGCCGATTTCTTCATGGATGTCGCGACCGGCCGCGTGGAGTGCAAACACGCCAAACACTTTGAACCCACCATGTTGTTCCGCGCGTGGGAGCTGTATGTCGCCGGTGAAGACCCCATCGAGGGTCTGCATGCGACGACGGCGTTGAGGCCCAGCAAGACGATGATTGGGAGGATTGCGAAGCGGTCGTTGATGGTTGCGGAGGTGGTGGAGATGTTTGCGGGGGTGGGGGCGTATTGGAAGGATGTGGGGAGGGAGTTTTGGGGGGGTCTGAAGACGTTGGTTGGGGTCGGGGATGGGGTGAGGAGGACGCCGGGGTTTTTGGCGGCGTTTTGGTTGTGTTATTTGAGGGCTTGTACGCAGGTGAGTTTTTTACCCCGGGGGCGAATTCTGGTTTTGAGGTTTGGGAGCTGCAACGAGGAGAGAATAGCGTACCTAACTTCTCCCCCCCATCCCCTCCCCCAGCTCTACCGCTCCCGCTCCATCTTCTGGTTCGACCAATTCATCCACCTCCTCTGCGGCACCTTCATCGGCATCGCCGCCCAAGAAAACACCTACCTAGGCCTGTACCCCGCCGCGGTCTGCACGCGCTCCTCCCCGCTGCTCTCCTCGGGCCCCGGCTGCTCCAAACCCATCGACACCCTCTCCAACGGCGGCATGTTCATCGCCCTCGGCGTGCTGTTCGCGGGCGTGACCTGCGGCGCGGCGACGTTCGGGAGGGAACGCACGGTGTTTTGGCGGGACGTGAGCAGTGGGATGCCTGCTGTGCCGTATTTCTTGGCGAAGTGGGCTGCGGATCTGCCGAGGATTCTGGTGGCCGGGGTCATGTTCACTGCGACGTTGGTGTTGCTGTTGCCAGTGAGACAGGGGATCGCGAGCGTGTTTGTGGTTGTGCTCGCCTTGTATTTCGCTGCATTCCCAATGGGTAGGTCTATTTGCTTTCCCCACCCCCCACGCGTCTCCCTCCCAACACACCCGACTAACAAACACACCCCCGCCTCTCATCCGTAGGCTACTTCCTCTCCACCCTCCTCCCCACCTCAACCGTCCCCCTCGCCTCCACCGGCTTCGTCCTCCTCTGGTCCCTCATCCTCGGCGGCGTCACCCCCTCGCTGCCCTCCATCACAACCTACCCGCAGGCCCTCCAATACCTCTGGACGCTCTCAGCCCCGCGCTGGGCCGTCGAGGCGTACTACATCAAGGAAGCCGCCGCGCGGCCGTGGGCGGAGCTGCAGGACCTGACCACGGAGTTGAGGCATGGGTATGCGAGGGAGAATTGGGGCAGGGCCGTCGGGTGGGTGGTCGCGATTGGCGCCGGGTGGGCCGTGATGGCCCTGGCTGGGTTGAAGTTGGGGTGGAGGGGGAAGCAGAAGTAGCGGCGGCGAAAGTCAAAGGGTTATATGGTAGTGGACGTTGTATGTTATGTATGTAGAATCCCCCCCCACCCATGTGAGCATTTATACGGTGTATGGATGGTCCCCTCCACTCTGAAACCTCCCTCTTGTAGAACGACTGTCTGTGGGTTTTGCGTTTAGGAGACGATGGCGAGACGAATGGACCGGTGGTTTGTACGATATGTAGAAAATGCGCATTTCGGCGGTGTGTGTTCTGTACCGCACATCATTCAGGCTTTTTTTTCGCGGAATGCGGTTTTCGACAGTGTATTGAAGACGGCGCGCTGTCGAAATACCTGATTACGCGATTACGTGATCCTGGAATGTGAAACACAGGGGGCGAGAAGTACCAGTCAAAATTGAATCCACCCGTCAATCAACGGGTCCCCGACTCCAAAAGAATTGCCACCACCGTTGGTTCAACAGGGAGTTGTGGCCGGTCTCAATCTAAACGGGAAATGCGCGCAATTCGCTGATTCGTCCATTCCGCGCTCTCCAAATGCGAACCAACCAATCAGCATAAAGCGGCGGACGGGGATACGCCGAAAACTTTTGGGTTTCTTGGGCGGACAACTTGGGGAAAACAATGCCGTCAACACGTTCAAACTTGTTCGTTGGTTTGCTGGTTTGCTGGCCCTCCGGTCGGTATCGTTAGCTAAGCGCTTTTGAGCCCGGTAACTCAACTGATTGGTCTTGCGCCTTCCGGTCAAGAGCGCCAGGACAAAAACTTGCCCCCCCATCTACGTACGCGAGAACAATCATGCCCCATCCCGTCCGCGAAGTGCGTTCGGTCGCATAACAATGTGCGCTCCAGTTCTATAGGTCTTTGAGCGTGGAGGTTTTGCGGGCGCCAGGATCAGATTGGGGCTTTTTGCGTGAGGAGACCAGTGAGCGACTGATGAGAGAGGATGCAAAAATGTAGATGCGGACGTCGTCAGAGACGAGGTCGAAGCCCTCGTTACTCCTCACATTCGCTTTCGTATATAAAGAGTGCAGCGAGCCGATGCCTCCACTTTCTCCCGCACATCACCCGCCCTTCACCCCCCGCAACCACACAGCAACCATGCATCTCACCCTCGCCACCCTCGCGACCCTCTCCACGCTGGTCATCGGCGCGCACGCCCACGGCCTCGTCACCGAAGCCACCATCAACGGCATCACCTACCCCGCATGGGACCCCTACCGCGACCCGTACACCCAACCCAACCCGCAACGCATCTTCCGCAAAACCCCCGGCAACGGCCCCGTCGACATGCTCTCGGCCGACATTCAATGCAACGGCAACGCCGGGTCAGGTTCCGACCCGGCCCCGCTCGTCGCACCCGCCACAGCCGGTAGCTCCATCTCACTCAAATGGACCGCCTGGCCGTCCTCCCACAAGGGCCCGGTCCTCACCTACATGGCGCGCTGCCCCGCCACCGGATGCGCGGGCTACAAACCCGGCGACGCCGCCGTGTGGTTCAAAGTGCACGAGGAGGGAAAATCCGCCTCGGGCACATGGGCGTCCGAGCCCCTCGAATCCGGGGCCACGCCGTACACATTCACGATCCCGAAGCAATTGCAGGACGGCGAGTACATCGTCCGCCACGAGATCGCCGCCCTCCACTCGGCGTTCAGCTTCCCCGGGATCCAGTTCTACCCCAACTGCTTCCAGATCAAGTTGTCCGGCGGAGGATCGGCGACCGGGCCGAGTGAGAAGGTCGCCTTCCCCGGGGCATACACGCCCACAACCCCGGGTGTCGTGTTCGATATCTACCAGAACAAAGGCGCATACCCCATCCCGGGCCCGGCTGTCTGGCCGGCGGGTGCGGCCGGCGACGCTCCTGTTCCCCCTCCCGTTCCGGCCCCGACCACCGTGGTCGCATCTACCCGGTCGAAGGGCACCACCGTCCCCGTGTCGACCCCGACCGTAGTGCCGACCCCCACGGAATCGACCGAGCTCCCGTACTGCGACGAAACAACCGTCGCGGCGCCAACACCCACCACCGACCTGCCGTACTGCGACGAGACCACCACCGTGCCCACCGAGACCGACCTCCCCTACTGCGACGAGACCACGACCCCCGTCGGGCCCACCACGACCCCCGTGGCTCCTCCCCCCGCAACGTCGACGGCGACGCCGCCGCCGGGACCATGCGCGCCCCTCTACTACCAATGCGGCGGCACGAACTGGAAGGGCCCGACCTGCTGCCAGCCCGGCTCACGGTGCAAGGTCCAGAACCCGTTCTACCACCAGTGTGTGAGCATCCAGTACGGCAAGTGAAGATGGGGCGGAGAGAGCGGATGTCGATGTGACCGGTGGGTAGGTGGGGATCATCCCCCCGGCGTTATATACACCGAAAAGACAGTACATAGGACAAGTAGACTGCGATAGAATATAGATGTTGTATAGAGAATGGTGTTTGTATAGAAGATATGTGAGTCTGTTCAATGACACCAAAAGGAAGTGTTGAAGAACACATGCGCTTTGTTTTTCGTTGTTCGTTGTTGAATGAAGGTTATACCGTGCGATACTGGCAGTGACGGGGCAAGGAGACTGGGAGGGAGTGAAAAGGCTGGAAGTTGCGAGCAAGGATGTACTGTAGTGTAGGTGCATGCCAAGTAAGGACCTTCCACGCAGGATGCATCGGAGGGATCGGACGGACTTCACGTTACGCGTCACGGAGTGGGAGCATGTTGGCATTCCGCGTTTCGACCTCCATGTAGTGTGTTCATGTTCACATTGATCGCGATATTCCGGGCCTCATCGACCGCGCCTTTCCGAAATCCACAGGACTTTGCCCGGAATCGCTCGCGGACAGTTGGCCTACACTGTAAAGCGACCGGAGGGTGGAGACTATCGTGAGGACTTTGGCATGGTGCGGTTCGGCGACGGAGCGGACACCGGACCAAGCAGGGAGTCCCCGGTACGATTTGGCCTCAGAGTATTTGTATTCACCTTTGATGTGGGCCGGCTCATCGGCTGCCGTATCTGGTTTTGTGATCTCGGCAAACCGATTTGGAACGAGCTTGACCTGATGGTAACGACGGCAAACTCGCCGGAACGTGGTGCCAGAGGATCAGACCGCGGACCGGAATGCCCACGCCCCACTTCCCTGGACCAATAATGCAATCGACGCAACGTGAACCATCTGCGATGGAAGCTCATCTGCGTTCATGAATCCCTGAAGTATGTCCCCGATGAGCTTCGCATCATTACAGGATGCCGCGACGCTGATATCAATCAGCATACCGAGACATGGCGCCCCTCGGCAGCCGGACTCGAACTCCCGGTAACGAAATGCACGGACATGGGATCGGAATGGCGTGCTGGCGGGTGCCCCGCCCCGACACGGCTGCTAGTGCAGGAATCGTGGGAGGGGAGGGCGGGGAAAGGGTTTCAAAGACCTTGGAATGGATGGGGGTGAGAGTGCATAAACTAATACAGGGGTATGTACATCAGACTCAAAAAGCAAAATGATGGAAATCCGAACCCCCAATAATACAGAAAACCAATCTCCTCGCAGGGTAGATACAGTCAGTTCGCGAAAAGCTGTGCACCCCCTTCATCACGCGGCCGCGCCGCCCAGCTTATGCGAGACACTGACTTACAGTCTCGAGGAGTGCACAGCTTTTTGCGAACTGACTGTACATGGGAAATTCAAGAAACAGCTGGGGAGAAAGCAGGACAGGAGTTGACATGCATCACCTAGGGCAAGGCGGTCAGACGGTGTTATGGACGACGCGTCCATACCATAAGCGTATGGGGAGCCATCCGCGTCAAAATGCCTTTCGGAAATTTTTTTGGGTCGGAGCGTGACTGAGGTTTCCAAAACTTGTTTTGGACGTTTTGACAGTGACACTGACAGTTAATCTCACTGCTTACATAAGATTTCTTTGGAAATGTCTTACGTAAGCAGACACGGCACAGCTGGTAGCAAGAGTTTCGCAAAGCGGTGTTGTTAGCTCCCTGGGGGCACCAAAGGCCCTTTTGCCATTGTTGTGTGCTACAGGAGCTGTAACGTCAGAGGAAACGTAGACAATATTATGGGCCCTTCCGAGAGGGCTGAGAGCAGTGTATTGTAGTGAAGAGAAAAAGTAAGAAGCTTTTCGCAGCGGCCCCTCGACTGACAGCTTTATATATGGACTGCCAGTGGGGCTTGCGTGGCTTCAGTGAGGCTTGGCGCCTTATGTAATGTATCACTGAGAGCTTGGGTGGCCAGCCCGGGTCTCGGATCAAGTAGAAGTAAAGAGATATAATATGAAATACAAGTGAAGATGAGATATCCCCGACACCTCCCTCAGATCCTGAGGAGCGCGCCGAATAAATAAGAGGTGAACTACGAGGGATATGTGAAGAAAGGGAGAGCTCATGTTCATTCTAAAGTGTTGACGCACTTGTTCATTTTATAGTGTTGACGCACTGTGTGATGTGTGTATCTGAGGCAAAGGCGTCCCTAAGCAGACGTCGTGTGTGATGTGTGTGTGTAAGGTCGGTTCTTGCGTCGCCGCGCGTGATGTGATGTAGTTTACGTCGCTATTGTTAGCGGTGTGATTGATAGTGAGCGGTTCTTGCGGCGTCGCGCGTGTGATGTGATATGAGATGCTCTATGCTGTTTGTCTCCGTATCCACAAAGATTGTGGGTGAGCTTATTGCCATCGTTTGTAGGCAGGCGTGTAGCAAAGTGCGGATTCGGGTTCCCAAGTAGGGTCAGGATAACCGAGCCATTTGACTAGAAGATTTCATACGGCGCGTCGCTCGTCGATGATAACTTCTACAACTCATTCAGGTTGTCCGCGTTCTTCGATCGGTGCAGGAGGTTGTGGAACTGCACATTGCGGATATTGCTCTTCGCGATGTGGTCGTAAAATATCAACGTGAAAGACGGGCCAGATGCCGCTGATTTTTGACGGTGATAAATCGAGTTCGTAGGTGTCAGGATGTGCTCCCAGTGCGATGGTTTTGAATGGTCCGATCCATGAAGCTGAGTGTTGAAGTCCTCTTCGAGCGTCTACTTCTAGGTTGATTCCTTGTCGATTCAGATCAACGAAGTAGCCAATTTTGTATGCAATTGGCGTTCGACCTTTGTCGTGTTGACGTGCGAATTGATCTTGCGATCTCTGAAGGTTTTCCCGTACAATACGGGCGATGTCTTCCTGCCCTTTCTTGAAGAGTTTGATTTTGTTTCGATCTACAGCTCGAAGTTTGAGTTCTTGTCCTTCGAGTGTTGGATTCCAACCCGGGAGGATTGGAGAGCGTACTAGATCTACTTCGAATGGCGATAAACCTTCATATTCCTCCCTCGGAGCAGTGTTGTATGTGAATTCAATTAAAGGCAATAGTTTCTTCCAATTGCTTTTGTCGTAGTTGAGGTATTGCTTCCAAATCCTTTTCGGGGTTTGGATGGCTCGCTCAACTTTACCGTCAGTTTGCTGATGACGAGCCGTAGCGAATTCGTGTTTTACACCGAGGAGAATATCGAATGCGAGGAAGAAGTCGGAAAGTGCCCGAGTTTCCCGATCCGTAACGAAGACTTTTGGCGTTCCGACATGTTTCCAAACATCATCTAGAAAGACTTGGGCTAGTTCGCGTCCAGTGATTGTCTTCTTGATCGGTGTCAGAATCACACGTCCGGAAAGGTAATCTATGCAGACGAGACAAGAGTCTGTTTCATCTACTTCGAAAATGTAGAATCCGACCGTGTGCCATCTTCCAAAAGGTATAGGAAGAGGTCGAAGAAATCCGTATCGACGATGACCAGGTTTGAATTGTCGACAGGATTTGCAAGTTCCAACGTATTTGATGACATCGGAGCATACGGTAGGCCAGTAATAGTCCGTAAGAATTCTCGCGAGAGTCTTCTTAACACCGAGATGTCCTCCGGTGGCGAGTTCGTCATGGAATTTCCGTAAAATCTTAGGGCAAATGCCTTCAGAAACGTATAGACGTCCTTTGTGTCGTACTAGTCCATTTTTGACAGTAGAACGGAGTCCTTTGGAAGTTTTCTCGTGTTGGGGCTCTCGAGAAATCTCATCGAGATAATCCGAATATGGATCTTCGCGTAGCGCTTTTTTCCATCCTTCTTCTGAGCAGGTAGGTGAGTTTCGTGGATCGTCTGTTGTAGCGTTGGAGGAAGGTTCATTGACAAGCATGTTGCTGATCCGCGTATGCATGTCGAGGCGTCGTTGACAATCTACACACCGAGGCGCATAGATTGGATTGCGGGAGAGCATGTTGGCGATATGATTCCATCGTCCAGGTAAATACTGGATGTCAAAATCATACTCTTGCAGCTTCTCGACCCAATTGGCTTGTCTTCTGCTCAAATGGGGTTGCGTTTGGATGAATTCTAGTTCCTTATGATCGCTAAAACATCGGAAGTAACGACCGAAGAGATATGGTTGGTTGGCGACCAACATCTTGACAAGAGCTAAGAGCTCCTGTTCGTGCGTAGAATATCGAGTTTCTGCGTCCTTCATCTTTCTAGAAAAGAAGACCACAGGCCAGAGCCGAGGTAACTTCTTCCATTGTCCGACAAGAGTAGGCAGATTCGTAGGGATCGTTTCATCGCCAGAAGGTTGTCCCTTCCAGCCAGCAGTAGCGTAGCCTGATGAGTCGGTGTAGACGTAAATCGGCTTGGATTCATCGATTGTTGCTAGCGTAGGCGCATTGATCAACGCTTCTTTCAACTTTTGAAATGCCTCTTGTTGCTCAGGACCCCATCGAAATTTGACTTTCGAGGATTGAATGCTTGATAGGGGCAGAGCGATGTCCAAATAACCTTGTACAAAGTCAAGGAAGTAGTTCGTGAACCCGAGAAAGCTTTGGACTCCTTTCGTTGACTTTGGAGTAGCCCAATCCCTGATAGCTTGGATTTTTGAGGGCGCGATGCGAACACCATGTCTTCCGACAATATGTCCACACCATTCGAGTTCTTCTTTAGCCCATACGCACTTTGAAGGCTTGATGAAAAGAGCGGGTTCTTCAAGTTTCTTCAGGATACGATCCGACGCGTTCCCGATGTTCAGCTAGAGTCTTTCGAGAAAATGAAAATGTCGTCCAAGTATGTAGCGAGGAATTCTTCGTAATCTTTATGCAAGATCTTATTCATAAGACGTTGAAATGCAGCAGGTGCGTTGGTAAGCCCGAACGGCATGACCAAATACTCGAAATGTCCGAAACGAGTTCGTATTGCCGTTTTTTCTCTATCTTGTTTTCGTATAAGAAGACGATGGTACTGCTTCTCGAATATCGAATAAGCGTAAACCATTTACAACCTTGAGTCCGATCCCTCATCTCACGAATATTGGGTAAAGGAGTGCGATCTTTCTTGGTGACCGCGTCGAGACCTCCGTAGTCCCAACAGATGCGTAATCCGCCATCTTTCTTTTTCGCAAAGATGACACTAGCTCCCCAGAGACTTGAGGAGTGTTGTATCCATCCTTTTTCGAGCATTGAGGTGATTTGTTTGTTGAGTTCAGCGAGTTCTTCTTTGTTCATGTGCCCAAGAGGTTGCCAAACGGGTTCAGCACCTTCAGTGAGTTCGATCTTGAAGTTGTCCTCTCCGCGATCAGGGGGTAGACCTTCCGATTCCTTGAAGAGCGTATTAA